GTAGATATTACTAAATTTAATATGAATGGATTTCTGCTAAAGGTAGATTTTTTCCAATAAACGGGCCTTTCATCTTCATGTAAACGTAACGCCGATGAGCTAGTATTTATTTGCTGTCTCAGCATTTGCATGAAAATACATAGTTACTTCCCTTGACTTGTCAAGTCGCATTTCATAAGAAATGGATCGGAGCAACTCGAATTAAACAGGAGCAATAATGTCTGGCCCTATCCACGAGTTTCGATGCATGTTGCTCGACCCCACCAGATCTTACGATTTCTCAACAACCGAATCATTCAAGTGTTCCACATTTAACTACCTGGTTTGCAATATCAAAATCTGCTGGAAGCGGGTGTTATATTGTCATTTAAGAATCATCCATGTCAAGTCTGGCCACAAAGGTGCCTAACAGCCATTTAAATCATGCTTGATGATGTGGGTATGGTGTTGGTCTCCCTTTAACATTGACAGTGATTTCGAATCCATTGTATGGATGCGTGTGTCCTTGGAAACAGTTTTGAAAATAAAGCGCTTAAGGCCTGCATTTTTGCAATGTGAAGGAGTATTCATTCAATATTATAGCATTTTTACTACGAAAAAAACAAGTTTTCCTGGGGCGCCAGGATGTAAAATGATTGAAGAGGGAGGGGAGGGAGAAACCCATCCAGCCCCTTTTCTGATGACCACCACCACCTTTCCACCCACCCTTGCTAGAAATGTCACTGCTACCACCCCACGCCCTGGAGCTGCCACTGCGCCATACGATTCTTCTTTTTTTCAAAGCAATCTTGTCGACGAATATAGACAAAATATAATCATTCATTTCTTCAAGTTACTAGAGTTATAAAAAAATTATGTATCTGATTAATTCTAATAATGGACGTTGTGTCCACCCCCAAGCTTTTATCATCTTGGTTACTGAAACTGTCATGTAAAGTTTGTGACAGTGGGTGTATACTGTGAACTTTTTTTCTGAGCTAAAAATTTGGCCTACGCTGGCACGATCAACATTGACAGAAATAGGAGCAATGTGATCTTCTGAGGGTGTCAAATTATATCTTCAAAAATATTTTTCAAATTTTTTCTACGGACCCGGTTCTTCTTTGATATTTGAGCTAAAAATAAGGGTACCATAGCAGTTTGGCAATTTAACACCCCTTTCGTAAAGTCTAAATATTGTTTATTTATGATCTTTGTTCCATTTTCCAGTGAAAAGGTATCGTCTCTTCTATCCTGTTAGTGGTATACTAGTCATTGACCCTTAACTAACAGTCCTAAAATAGATGGAATTTTATGTAATTTATTTACTTAATTCATAATTTCACATAATAACTCAGAAAAACACGACTATTGTTTTGTTTTAGCAACAGAACAGGTTAATTAATGAAATAATGACACTTAAAATTTGACATCCGTTCATTTTTTAATCGTGTACATTATCAACAAATAAAACTGACAAGCCCTATGTTTTCAGTTAAAATAAAACTGCAATCATTTTATATGTGCAGAAGTCAAGGCAACTAGTTTAAGTTAAAATCTGCATGAGATACAAAGAACATTGATTATGATGTATTTTCGAAGATAATCTGCTTGACTTTATTTTGTGGGCAACGTTATGGATTGAACGAATGAAATTGTGACTGACTCTAGTAGATTGTGACTGACTTTTGCAACTTGTTGAAAAATTGCAATTTCGACTAAAGTTGAAAAAATATGGCTGATTTTTTCAACTGCTATGCAAATAAATCAATGTGATATTCAGTTATTAACTATATAATTTTGTGCATATTACATACTCGAATGTATTGCTCAATAAAGGAACAATGGCACTAATAGTCTAATACTATACATATTCCATGCATAATAAAAGCTTGGTTGTTGATTCAGTAACGGACACAACGGAAGGCCCTTCTCTTTAGTGCCCTTAAATTTAACTTTCGAGAAAGCTATGCTAAAAAAAAGTTGTGTTTTATTATACAATTACTTGCATTAGGGTTTTCAACTAGCTAAAAAAAACTCGACGACGCCTAAAAATACGAATAAAATACCATTGGCGATTTCCTCTATAATTGTGACAGCTTTGGGGCCTGGATTAGGCTTATAATGTGTCCCATGGACATAGGGGTATATTTGTCATGGTCATAATATATTGAAGAGATTCAAAAAAAGAGATGTTCTGGTCATTCTTGGTCGTTAACCATCTTAACTAAAGGCTTCTATATGATTTCTTCAGTATGTATATCTACTCAAGATAGATTGTGTTTGTCCAATAGTATTAGAACAAAATTTTCCATTGATCCAGACATAAAAAGAAACAGAAACTATAATGGTATCGATAAAAAAAAACGAAACTTAATGGTATAAATTATTAAAAAAAACTATAGCGGTATCAGTTATTAAATTAGGAACATAATTCTTATGTCAGACTCCACCCTGTTGGGCATTACACGAGACTATAATATGGAATTTCTGCTATATCGTGATGTGACGAACTTTTCATTAACTGTCATTTCAGTCGATATTCTGTCGTTAAAACTTTCAAACTACTATAATCATGTATTATATAAATCAGATGAACAATAGGCGTGCGATTGCTGAATGGATAAGAAAGACTGACGGGGGCGAGTTAAGAAATTGAAGAAGCCTTTCCCTACAGGTATATGGTATTATGTTTTCTTGTCTCCACCGTCTCATCTTCAGTCTATATAGCCTCAACTTGTTACATTCAAAGTTTAATTTCAACAGATGATTTACAATCGTAATGACGATAGTTCAGATATTTATCTTTTTTGATTATTATACTTCTAAGGTAAGTCTATATGAATTTTCGACTTTGAAAAAATCAGCTGAAACATTATTGTACAGCAGTTTTTGCCTCTTTGGGTAGTAATTGCCTACCTGTGCTTTGACTCTGGAATAATGTAGTTATTGTTTGTCTATTCCTGCATGGCCGTACGTCAAGACAAATGCCACATGTCGAATTTGGTAAAATAAATAAAAAAAAGATTTTAAATATAAATACTACATATTGTTTATATCATGTCTATCATGTACCGTTTGAGTTCTACAGAAAGCGTTGCGGTGAAAGGCCTCGACTTTAAACACACAGGAGAAAGGCCTTAGTTACGCTCTTGTTCTGCTGTGTTTTCTAAAAGGAATTGTTATAAACATTCAGGTAATTTAATGCCCATATTATATGTTTGATAATGATTATTTAATTACATTAAATTTATCCCGGAAGGTCGACTAGTGTTTGTAGTATTTCGAATTGTTGACAATACAGGATGTTTTCGTTAGAGCTCAATTTTAGGCGATACAAGTAACGCTTTTTTAGAAAACCATCCTATATAAGGTTCTGAAGCGACAAAAGAAAATAATATTCTCAAAAACAAATTGTATTCACTTTGGCTTATTCAATTTCTGTGCTAATGTAAGTTCTGGAAAATGTTAGGGGTGTGGGGCTGAAATAAATTTACATCAGCTTTACATAACAGCGAGTTTTATATACTATGATTGTCATAGGTTGTATGTTCAATCTTTATCCATCAGTATTTAAGTTGGTATAAAAGGGACAGATGCGCCATTGAATATTATCTAAATAGTGTTATTATTAGCAATAACAAGTTTGTGCACTGCCATTTTGGCACATTTGTCTTTCCGTACTGAACAGTTTTAGCTTCTCCTTTATAATAAGAATTTAATAGAGGACCTTAAGGAATCCTCTCAAATCTTACTTACAGTTCGGGTTGGTTTTCTGTCCGGATAACAGAAAAGATAGCGGTTATTAAAACCCACTTCGATGGAAATCAAAAGAAATTCACAGGGTTTCAGTTCCGTGAATTCAATACAATTGTTTCATTTCAAGATTAGTGTACGTCGAGTGTTCTAAAAATGGTAGTCTTTTATAGAAAAGCAAGGGATATAAATGTAGGCCTAACTAATGAGACCATTGTAGACTCTATCTTTCATGCGAAATGTATTGAGTCTTCAAGAACTATATATATTGGAACCGACTAGATTTTTGACAAAAAGGAATGCAAAGGTCAATATTGTTTGATTTCTATTTCATAAAAAGTACAGCATGGATCAATAATCAATGAAAGTGCTAATCCATTTTAAAAACTCTGAGGGTAAAACGTGTGAAATTTGATTCTTTTCATCGAAGGAACATATAAAATTGTGATCGACCTTCTTAAAAAAAAGAAAATGGTTCATGTGAACAGTAGTATAACTTTCTATAATAGACAGCTTTTAATTAATAAACTGAGAGTTTTCATTTTAACGATAAGTTTGGATGATCTTCACAATATCAAGCTATTCAAACTATATACTTGACCTTGACTGCAATAGCCACCTTTCTTGTATCATGGATGTAGAAGATGAAACGATTTGGTTGGATTGTACGCCGGGAATACAGTCAATCAGAAGACAGAAGGTCTGTGAGCACAAAGCATTTCTGCCAGGGCTCTATTTGGCAGTATTCGCTAGCGTACAATCCAATCAAATCACTGTATTTCGTGATACGAGAATAGTGGCTATTGCAGTCAGAATCGCTGGTCCTCAACTTGCCTGATCTAGTCGGCCGTGGGGATACATCGTGCGCCACAGTGGAGATGTAATGCGATGATAAATAACTGTTTCAATTCCCTCTTCTATTTAAAATAAAATGTCATTTGACATAGCATTTGCTGTAAATATTGTTATTTTCATGAGTAAGATTTTTGACATTTGTCATTTTGCCCAGAAGATCTGGTTATAATATAGTCACCCCAATTAGTGTATCAATCGAATAGACTATTAGTACTAAATAACACCACTGGCATTTCTTGTCCAGTAAGCAATATTATATCTATTTGGCATCTTTAATTCATATTAAGGTTGGAAAAAGATCTAGACATCCTTCATATAAAATCTATAAAAAGTTATTGATTTAAAAGTTTTTATTCTTAAGCCTTAATGGTAAATTTGTTCTATGATCGACAACACAAAATTATTGACAAATGTAATAAAGTGTCGCCTAACAAGGAGAAATTTTATAGTAATAATCACTCGTGTGATCTACCATGTATTGTCAGCTCTCTCGTCTATGTGAGCGCCATTCTTCTTTGATTTCGGTTAATTAGTAAAATTTGGATTCTAGAGGTTTAACGACTGTTTTCATACATAATCATGCTTCATGTTTCTATTGTATTTTTCAATTCTCACCTGGATAGATAATGAGAATTGAAGAATGGTGCTTTTTGTTTATGTTATCCATGAATTTGAGTAAGTTCTACTTAAATGTAAGTTAAAACCAGAGGCAATGCCTAGGGACGATACACACTGACCTTTCATATAAGTGAATGATATAATTAAATGTATTGATCAAATTAAAACGCATATTATTATAAGAATTCTAGTTAAGTGAAAGTGTCAAGGCTATCTGTTATCTGTCCAACGTCAATTTATAACAAATTCAAGCATCGTCTCTTTAAAGGGACAGATACGCAATTTGTTTTTGACCAATCATACTCAAGTCTCAGAAACGAGCTAATTTGTAGCTAATCCAATCAGTAATAGTGTTCACAGCTTACATTATTTGAGCCTTTAAATCCATGTGTCTCGAATTATCCGAGTTTGAAAGTTAAAATGACGAGTCGTCTTTTCCTCAGATACTGTCGTATATTAGAAAAGACATGTATAGAAATAAAAAGAGAAATTCATAGTTTGAGATCTTTTTTGAAGGTATTATGCGATTTTCGTACATTTCTAGTACTTCTGAAGAATATTTACATATATTCAAGAATCAAATCAACCCTCCAAAATTGCGCAACTGTCCCTTAGTAAGTCTGAGAACATCAAATTGTCGACGACTTTTTCCTCAAACATAACTACTTTCAGAGTTGTTTTTGATATTTTTTTTTTATTTATTTCCTGTATTCAAAGAAATGTATAGATGGTATAGATAGATATAGATATAAACTGAACAATAATGTGCACAATATAAGTTAATTACTATAATTAATAAGGACACGTGGTTTTAACGATGGTAACATTCTGTTAGCTTTGTGCTAAATATAATCTGCTCAGAAAGCAGTGTCAGGTTGACTTTCTTAAATTTCAATTTTAAGAACTATTTTGTGGAGTACCTAAGGCAGTATTCAAAGGAAATTGATACCCTTGTTCTCAATGGAAATGAAAAACACTTAACAAAGATCAATTTCACTTCCGCATGTAGCCTACTGCCAATTAGTCACCATCTCTTTCAGGCTACCATTAAAAGGGATATAGCATGCAGTTTTTTCTTGAACATCTGACTGACTGTAGGCTAACCAATTCGTTGCTTGACGTAATAATGAAAAACCTTAGAATATGACACAATTTAATATTACGACGATCTCCAAATCCTTTTTAAAGAAATTCATGAAATTTTCCAAAGTAAGGCACAATGTTCTTCGGCATTACATCCTAAAGGGCCGATATTGCGACCATTAATATTTTAATTTTTCGCCGATTTAATTACTGACCAAGCAGGCTCATTGAAATCAGTTGAAGCGCGAAATTACTGAACGGACACATTTTATCTCTTCGTTAATTCTGCCGGAATTGACATAAGTCAAGATTGATTTTAATATGCAGCGGACTGGATTGGACATGGGCAAGATTCGGACCGACGGAATGAAGATTACATTTTTGTCCATTTCATATATCTTTTGATGATGTCTTTACATGTTGAGCATTTATGGTCAATCCAATTATCTAGGTCGATTTGATCGAGAATCCTCCTTGCAGAAGAAAAAAAGCTTTAGGCTGTCATCAGGTATTAAGCAATGTAGTAAGGTCACCACAAATTATGTCAAATATGTAACCAAATATGTGTTATTTCATAGCCAAATATTTTAATGTGTGCTCAAGACAATACATATCAGAATGAAAGGAAAGACATATTATGATCAATAATTATAGTGTTTTCCGTGTTTTGATCTCACATAAAACATCAAATGTCAAAAGACGTGTAATATGTAATCCTGACAATCTACAATCACATGTGTAGGCTACTATTTATCTGTGTATAGTACATAAATATCCAATTCAGTTAACATATCCTCTGGATTTGTTTTAGATGAAGCATTCTTTCTGGAAATGGTACAGGTAAAGTTATCAGTTATATTTTTGAGGCCTTTAAGTTTCTGTACAATCCGATTTTACATGTTACATATTATTTGAAACCATTAAATGCCTTGACTGAGAGTTAAAAAATTTATGCAATCAATTTACTGTTAGTATAAGGATACAATACTAACAAAAGAATTCAGGTTTTTTTTCGATAATAAGGTACATTTCCTGATTACGTTATGTTTGTCTGATTTGGCAGGGAGATATTTCAGCAAGTAAACGGTATTTCTATGGATACTAATTGTGCAGATTTATTTCTTAACTCGAATGAGGAAGAATTTATTCAAGGCCTCCAACACAAGAGCAGTATACAACTAGCTCGTTCCTTTAATCCCACTTTCCGATACATAGATGACGTTTTGTCACTGAACAACTCCGCTTTTGGAGACTGTAGATAAACTCTACCCAGGAAAGTTGGAAATTAAGGACTCCACTGATTCTAAGATTAAGCGCCCTAATTGGATTTGCGTGTTCAAATTGTCAACAACCACGATCTTTGTAAAACGTGACGACTTCGATTTATGGATTGCACAGTTCACAACTATGCTATGCTGAGCATTTCCTAGCTAGAGGTTGAATATTAACTTTGAAATTGCTAAATTGATAAATACCAAATATCTGTTTCTGGCATTTTGGTTGATTTGTTTGGTCAAGCATGAATTGTTCTGGTTGTACCTCATGATTTTTACCTTAGTGGTAGTGGCGGGTGTCGCGCTCGAAGCAGACCATGCTTACACTTTTAAAAACACCTGGTGGTACTACTCAACATCTACTCTCGATTGAGCCATACTTTGGACGAAATTTTGATTGACGGAATTGTCTTGCTTGTATGGATTTTTATTCCAACCGAAACGTATCCGATCGTATTGCTCGTCGTAGGCTAAGTCAGAGTCCACAAACTGTCGATATGAGGCAGACCTGATATGAGTCCAATGAAACAGAGGAGGTATCTAGCTTCTTAAAACCTGATTCAACATTGCTGTTTCTTCTTAATTCATATGCTCATGATGTTTGTGAAAAGTAATACGTAATAGGTGTTTGACTATCCACTTCCTGATAAAGTAAAGGAGTGGTAAACCCGGTGATTAATCGATTCTTCATTGTCTTCTAAATATGAATAGTTGTCAGGCAAGGTAACAAACAACCACGGATAAACTTTGAACTAGTATCTTTAAACGTCCCTTGTCAAGGACAATAACTCTAAAACTGTTTATTGATGCCTTTTCATGTTCGAACTAGTCCCAAATCCCATCTCTTCAAATATCAAATTCATACAATAAGAACGTATACTTCAGCTTGTATCTTGCTGCATTGTGCCAAGGGTATTAGGCCTAATTCAAAAATCGTTCAAAGAAACACCCTAGATTTCACACTCCTCTGAGATCTCATCTATTCAAATAGGCCTATACGTACTTTATTTCATACAAATAGGATAAAAACTATTGGCGAATTTTGACGCATTTTGACTAACTCAAAACGTTAATCGAAACAACAATTTAGAACTCATCTGAGAGCTGCAAATCCAAATATGAACACTAAATTTCAATCAAATAAAAAAAACCCCTCTAACTTCTATTCTATCGAGCTTGCAAGAAAATGCAGACGGGGAGGCGAAGGTGTGTACTGCGTCTGTCCTTCATTCTTTTAGAAATCCATATGACTGATCATTGATTTGAAATACCCGTAGGCGTACGATCATTTGCCAACGAATTTTCAATTTTTGAAAAATCTTGAATAATACAGAAGGGAAATATTAATTATAAATACAGAAAAAGGTGTTGTTTGTAACACATTTTAAATACAATAACCACTTTGTTATGTTGACAATTCAATAGTTGGCTTTACGATGTGCTGATGGACGGACGGAAGGTATATTTCTTCGCTAAAATTTAAGGTAACTCTCATGGTTTTTAACTTTCTTTTTCAGAATATGTATATGTGTTATCTTCCTTATACAAATGCTGTATTTTTATATTAATTATTATTTATATTGTATTTATAACTTATTACTCTATAGAAATATAACTTGCTGTAAAAAATATAATTTATTACTATAAAAAAAATATAACTTATTACTGTAAAGAATTATAACTTGTTACTTATAGACCTAAAATTCATTGCTGTTCAGAAATATAACTTATTGCTGAACAAAAACATAGTTTGTTACTGACAGAAGTAAACTTACAGATGTATAATGAACAACTGTAAAGAAATTTAATTTATTTCTTTGTGGAAATATAATTCATGGTTGTACAGAATACAACTTATTGCTTTCTAGAAGTTTATATTGTTTATTTTATTTAGGTAATAATAGCAATGGTAGCCTATATTGTTTAAATTAAGTAACGTCATACTCAAATATTTAATTTATTGACTTTTTCAGATGAAGACATATTACCAGTTAGTAGCTTTAGCCATCTTTTTATCTCTCGGTACAATAACCGAGCAAGCAGAGCCAGAGCGATTGTGTGGTCGCAACTTAGCCAATGCCTTAGATTTGGTATGTTATGATAGAGGTTTTCATTGGGAAGTTAGCAAACGATCAGGTTAGTAAATCAACATTTTTATGTCTGTAGACGTAGTAAATGAACTACATTTGATATAATGTATGATCTCAGAGCGTTGGCGATAACGAATACCTTAACCTTGGATTAAAAATAAGATTCACGCCATTATAAACGCAATAGCTTGATTATTCTTAACTTCCTGATTGGATAAAACCACACTCTTATCTTTTCCGAGCGGGAACCCATGGTTTTGTGTAAAAATAAATTTTATACCTATAATCTTTTGAAAGGTCAAACGACATGCATTCCAGGATCATCTTGTTTTACGTAACATATTGAAAAGGTTGACTCTAGATTAACTAAAAAGGATTGATTTTCCTGTTACCGGCATATCAAACTTCATCGTGGCAGAGGATGAAGGATGTAACTAATTGATTTACCAGATCGTAGGAGTCTGATATATAATAACTGTTCCTTGTCAAAGTTACTTATAGATATGAATATATTACAATAATTGACATTAAACTAATTAGCTTAGCTATAATAAACTTTTTGGCCCATATTATAATCATCTGATATCTTGACTTAAAATGATTAAGATCTTCCGGCCCTTGTCAAGGCTAAATCTAAAAAATAACTATCCTTTAGCGTTGATGTCAAGGCGTATTTAATAGTCACCTGTTACAAATTTACATCGATATCTGTCTGTTGCATTATTTTGACTTCGTTTTAAAATGCCATTGCGCTTTGTTCAACATGATTACCAAAATATTCAATATAGATAGTACCATTTTCACAATTTTAAGCTATTATGAACTTCGTCTTGTACCTTGACTGCATTATCCACCTTTATCAATGACTTGATTGAATTATACGACAGCAAAAAAGCCAACCAGAGCATGTTTACAGACTTACTGTCTAAGATAATTAGAACAAAATCTCAATTGATGCTGAAATCAGTCTCTATCAGCTATTTTGCCCCCATACCAATGCGACCGCCCCCTTGGCACGTTGTGCTGGTTACCGGTCTGCGTTAACAGCTCCTTGATGACTGTTATATTTTCAAACTATAAAATTAGAAAATTAATTATCCAAACTGTTTTGACAAACACATGTAACCAAGCGAGACAAAAATGGCAAGGCGTTTATATTCTTTATAGGCCTACCACAATTAACACAGTTTCAAATACAATTGACTTGTGAATTCATCTTTAAATATAAACTCATTTGGTTTTACAGATATAAACCATCCAGCTAAAAGAAGGAACAGAAGAATGATAGATGTTTTTATTGATAAAAGAAATTACCACGGTAGAAGAGGCGTTGTAGAAGAATGTTGTTATATAGGCTGTACATATGAAACTTTAGAAAGTTATTGTGCTGAACCAGGCGATGAAGCTCTAGTACGACCAGGGGTAAGATCTTTCATCTGTAGTCACTAGCTATCTCTACCAGAGGCTTGTATGATCTTCGTCTCTTCAAAACGTCCAAAAACTATCACATCTTTCTAATCTGCTTCACTGTGCTGTGAAGGGGTAACAAGGTTATAAATATTCATGACCTCATGTGACTGTTCAGCCAATCAGCACTCTTTGAGAAGTTATTTTCCTAGATGGAAACTTATATAGGTAAAGAATATTCCATAAAATTTATGAATGTACTTTAATTTTTGTAATTGTATTTTATTTTAGAATCGTTTTCGATTATTGATGGGAAGAACGACAACCCGTCCCACTGTTCCAGCTGCTACCCCTAGACCACCAGTTGTAACTACACCGGGAGTCCATTTCCCGTCTGCTGTCTTTAATTCTCATCCAAGACCAGGAAGCCGAAAACATCGTTATTTCTATGTACAGTTAGGTACACGACCAACGAGAAGTCCGTTAATATAGACTTTTAAAGAACAAAAAAAAACTTTATATAGAATGTTTTAGAATCTGGATTTAGAATCACCACCAAATATGGTCATATTATGTAACGAATGCCAAAAATGTGTTCCAATGAATTTCCAAAATATATTTGAAACTTGTGCTTTGTAACGGATGTTAATAGTTATACAAACTAAATGATTGTTCGTCAATATTGAGAGAAGCGGGAGTGCATATTTAAAAGTGGCGCGAAATAGAACCTTCAAATTTAAAATCAAAACTGGCTTGAAATAGAACGATTCGCTGGCGACACCTAGCACAATACTGATTTTTAGTGTAGCTTCAATTCAATAAAATCTATGGACATGTTAACGATTCTTCAATTTGTGGATGAACCTTCGTTCAGCAGGCTGTCGAGATGTTAAGTTATTTCCCAGAGCTGTTGTTTATATTTCTATATATGTGTAACCGAATAATTTGAAATTTGCTTTTAAGGATATTCGAGTTTATTATTTGACTAATATCTCATTCAATTTTCGGTATCTGGCCAGGCCCGTAGCCAGACTCGATTGTGCGGAGGGACAAGTAATATATCCGAAGGGGCAACGATGTATGATGTTTAGTTGCAGTAATGGATTGGTCGGTTGTCAGAATTTTTTCCGATGGATACCCCCCCCCCCCCCCCCCCCCTCCTTACTCCTCCCTGTAGCTACGGACCTGTCTTGCATACACAAGGACTTAGATCTATATTATATACTATGGTTAAAATGTACACCTGGATATCTTATTTCTCGTTTTCTCAACGGCTTCACAGATCTGAAGTAGTGATTGAAATAACCAACAGGAAACACGAAATGAAAGATCAAGACGTGCATATTAGCCAAATCAAAGACCTGTCAAATGTCAATTGGTTAGAAAAGATTTTGGGAAAAAGAGTATTCGTTGGAGAATCTACTTAAGGTTAAGGTTATGAAACTATAGCCTAATTGTTAGTTCAGGTTTTGCTCTTGTATAAGTATTGACAGGCCATGTCTTAAAGAATGTTAGGATTGAAAGTTAAATTTAGATACCATCAATTAAGATAAAGAACCGAGAATTAATTTAAAATAAAATGTTATTTAAGACTCTCAAGGGAGTACATTTATTATGTAAATATAAGATACCAGTGCCATTCTTTTCTATTCTATCTGAGCGCATTACGTCTGCATAAAGAAAATACTAAGAAATTTGAAAGGATTCTAAAAGAGAAAACAATGTTGCCATGGTGCACCAAGTAAACAGCTAACAGGCGGATAAATTTTGAAAAGAAATTTTCCAATATAATAAAGTAATAGCCGTACACACTGTTTGTGATATATAAAAATGTTATTGTTTTTTGTCATTGTTAATTGTTTGCTGAAAAGCTTTTCTGTTATTATGAGATATTTTTGTAAATAAAACTCATTTCCATATAAGCTAGTGTTTTATCAGTCTCTATAGCAAAAATGGTAGCCTCAAAGGTTTCGTAGGAATTTTGTTGTTGGTCGTTTATCCAGCCCCAAAGCCAAAAGACAGAGACACAATTCCAGATGACCCGGTGTTTAGAAATGATGATTTACATAATTCACGAGATTAAAACCCTGATATAAAAACAATCTACGGTCTTGAAGAGAAATGGATGATATAACGGATGTTTGTAAATATAGCGGTACAAAAACAGGACAGACTGACCCAATGTCGAGGTTGAGAATCAAAATGCGGCATCTCCGCAACTCCCTCATACAGCGTCTAATATGGCTTGATATGGTGCATTCTGACACGTATTATAGCACAAAAACGTATCAAAATCATATTTTTAAATTGTTAAAAATCCATATTTCTACGGGGGATGCCCTGCCTGGCGGCCACTGTATGAAATTGAATGTCACCTTGAAATTTGATTTTAACAGCAGATGGTAGGCTGTTAGGCCAATATTTTGGGTAATTCGATTAAAAATTCTCGAATGGAAGTGCGTTTATATTCAATGTAAATACTGCTCGGTCGGTGTCAAGTCTATAATAATCTAATCACGAAACAAAAACGAATCCGTTTTGATTCAAAATCAAATTCTGACAGAAACTTAGGCCAGATACGAAATAAATTGAAACTGATCTATTTGTAATGGAGAACGGGCACATATAGTATAATGTTATTTACAGAAACGTTTAATTTTAACATTAAAAACAAATTTCGCAACTTTTCGAAAGAAATGAAGCTTATTAAGGAGTTCCTTGTCGCTGATAACTGTGTCAAGATATGATAGTCAACTATGATGACCCAATTCTCAATTATTTCACAACGCCGACGACATACAGTAATATAAAGATACCGTTTAGATAATACACGAAACTCATTTCATTATTCTTCAAATAATCCCTAACATGACAAAGGTAGGTCTACTGTATACTGTCTTCAATGCGTTATTTTACACATTTTCCCTTCGCGTTTCGGGTCTTAATTTTATTTTTCTAGCATTGTTTCAACCAATGAGTTAAATAATTCTTCTATAGCTCATTAGTTTCAACGATTTAGAATTCAGATCGTAGACTGTGTAAAATCATGAAACAAAATATGATAATTAATTTGAAAAATTGGGTTATTAGGTCTACATTTTTTTATGAAGTTTTCATTTCAAATTTTGTTCCACATATATTATTGCATCAACCTGCACCATTCCAAATTTCAATCAGAAAACTAAGTGTTTGATGACGTCTCTAACGCAAACATATGCTGTATCACGTAAGGCCCTTCGCGATTAGTGAGGTCATTAAACAGTTAGTTTAAGTAGAAATAAGGAAACTCAGGTGTCTGATTGAAAATTGGAATGATGTAAATTGATGCTATCAATGTCCCCGATACATATAAAATTTGTTATAAAACCTCTGCGTACAATCCTGTAATATCAAATATTTGGAATGCACTTTATATTTTACTATCAAATAGCAATAATATTCATATGTAATCGACAATCTTTGGTGATCGCTTTCGATTCTTTTTTCGCGAGAGATAGACTTCAGAAATGACCCTTTAATGATCATATCCCTTATTTACACCCATAACTGTTACAGACAACCCTTATATAAGGTAAGATTTTGCCTCTTGTTTTTATTAATTAACATTTACAATATACCATTATGTAAAATTATATGAACCTACACGTAATGCGTGTATGACAAAATACAAACAATGAATATCAAAGAAAGCGTTACATTTTGGGAGGACATTGATATATAGCTGAATATAAATATCGATCAAATACGGAGATAGAGAACAACCAACGAAGCATCTCGATTGAGATAGCTTGTGAAGACAAAGACACTACAGTTTTGTTCCAATCTTGATGATACCAGATGTATTGTCGATGATTTCGGATGAGTTCTATTTTCATGATCTTTTTGAGTTGTCGCTCTTAACTTAAAATATATAGAAGTTAAAATAAAAGAACATTTACGAAATTTAAAACATTGTTGATATTGTCACTGCAGTTGCGATCACTGTTACTTCCTAGTTATATTTAAAATTGCACCGAGTTTCTTGGATCACTATGTATAAAATTATCTATTATGTTCGTGGAACGAAACCATGTAATATTATTCATAACATATTTAGGTAAGTTAGGTCAATAGAATAATGATAATAAGTTATTACAGTCTAATGAATTATATTCTAATTAATTTTGCTCCGACGACACTAATTGACTGAAAAATAGCAGTTTTCTAAGTTCAGAAAGATGTCATGTAATAGAGAGTTTATCTTGACGTACCGTCATTCAATTTACCTTTTTGACGAGTATCGTTAGGTGAAGTCGATCTGCAGATAGGTGTCTGGATACATGGCTGACATTCATTCTTAGAATCAGTTGCAGATGGAACAACAGATTGAGATCCTACAGACTCTAAAAAGATACATTCGATGGAAGCAGTGAGTCCTAAAATATTTTTATTTCAGGATCGAAGATGTCCAGTTTCAAAGGCCAGCTGGCTGTCAAAAGCTTTCTTTTTGTGGACCCATAGGTGATCTATATAATCTGATCTAGAAAGACTTAATATCCAAAGCGATATCTCTCTTGGTTTATTTCATTTATTTCCGCTTCTGTAGGCCTACTCTGTACAAATTTCCGAAGCAGTTGAAAATAACCCAGTTAGTATCTTGAGGTTCGAAACAGTCATACATTCCTATCCCTTTTAATAATTTGGGGTACTTTCAAACGCATTTAGCCGTCACAATTATTATAAGATTTGATATAACTATTTCAGTTTGTTAGAAAAAGGTCATAGAAATAACATTACAGAAGATGATATGTGGGACTTGGAATCAGCCTTTCAATGTAAACCAAATAATAAAATATTTAAACAACATTTCACAGAAGAGACCTTAAAAGACCGGTAAGAAGACCATAAGATGTATATAACATTATTTAATCATACACTTGCCACAACTAAAGAAGGATTTATACTTCTGTTTACAAATTATACATTACAGAATTTCGTATACAGTAACATCAGTCATTGAAAGTTAACTGATTAATGTTTCGCTTTGTGTTTTTCCATTTCTGTGCGTAACTCCACTCCATAATCTAAAAAAAACTGTGGTACAATTTTACAAGATTTACAAGCTAGATGCGAGGCATTCTATAACATTAATGAACACTAACTTTCGACGCTATTGAGACAATATACGATGGAATACCTTTCAAGAAGAATTTCGTCAGATCCCTCATGGTAAATATAGTAACCATGCACTGAAAAACACTAAACGACATATCTAGATCTGTAGTTAATCGGATTGCAAGGAAACCAAAATTGAGCAATATAATTAACGTAGCAGACCTGGTTGCCATTTTAATTACTTTTTGGAATTTCAGATGGAATTCAACGCAGAATATACTGCGAGGTCCAACGTCTATTGCCTTGCTGAAGTCATTTCGACTGGACTGGTGTAAAATGGTTTTATATAGACTTGGACATCTTGTAGTATCCTGGTTTGCACACACCTACCTATTAAGGTGACCTTTTTTAACATCTGTACTTTTTTCAGGAATGGAATGCATCACTCCGTTTTCCACAAAATCCTAAGATTCCTTAAAAATCAATTTGTCTTGAGCTATTTTAGTCAATTAATTGCCTAATTAAATACGTGATAAACACCCTTTGTCAGAAATGCAGTCATGAAAATAAAACACCTGTGAAGAGGTGTTGATGAATATTCTAATTGTATAGCCTCGATGTTTTTTTTATATTCTGAAAATGATAAAAAAGTGAATTTGAATTGGGATCAAGGTCAATTGCTCTGTAACATGCTGTAATAACATTAAGTGCTGTACAATGTTATTAAATTACAGAGTTATAATAATAACTATGACAACCTTTATATTTATGCGTAACGTGATAATATTCTAGGTTATTGATAGAGAATATCGGCAGTAATGGAGGATATCTATATGCCCTAGTCATGGCCCTGGTGGTATTTATTGTATATCAGATAAATAACGTGTTTTTTAATCATGCACTTCATACTCAACACACCATAGAACATAAAGTAACAACTGTTATATATTCTTCACTCTATGACAAGGTTAATTGACATTTCTATTTTTAAAAAAAAAGAAATTATTTATATTTAAATTGTTAGAAATAAGGATATCAAAAGAGTTTAATCATATGACAATTTAAACGCATTTCAACTTCCAATAAAATCGCGTCACTGCATGATGTTTTATTTGTAAATTCTTAAAAATGAATTATACTCGCTTTCAGTCATCATTAACTGAAAAAAATTCTTGTTCGTATAATAAGTGATTTCTCAAATTTTTCCCATCAGTTGTTGACAAAAAAGGTGTGCTTTAAATTGGCATATAACCATTTTTACAACTAGTTTCTTTTAGAATTCAAATTAGAATTATAATCATTCACATTTCAGTCCTTAAAGATTCCAGTTGAAGTTAGAAAGAATTATTCTGTCGGAGAAATCTCCAATCTTTTAGCATCTGATGTTGAAAACGTAGCTTTTCAATCACCACAGTTTATTTTCCTTGGTCTCAGTTTTCTACACATACCTGTAGCTTGTTACTTTCTCTTTCAACACCTGGGTATATCAGCCCTAACTGGGGTTATTGCCCTTCTGTGTTGTGTTCCCGCAAGTACGTATACGTGTATGCAACTCAGAGAACTTCAAGACAAAAAGAATGAATATAAAGATAAGAAAATGGAGGTTTTAAATGATATGTTGAATGGAATTAAGGTAAGGATTTAAAAAATCAGAATATGCCTATAGCAACTGTCTGGTAAACATTAGCCTTGTGTATTTTGGGGAAGCTTCTATATAACAGTATTTGTCAATCATTTGTGTCACAGTCTGAAAGAATAATAAAAATGGTGAAAAAATTGAAAATGAATATTACGTGATGTCATCAAACAAGACTGAAGAGTTGTGCTCAATGAGACAAAGTATGGTCTCTCTATGGACAATTATTTTAATGGTAACGCATAGCACTTATACAGTTGCTAAATTAGATGCGTGAGGGCTCATGGAGTGGGTTTCACTCATTTATATATTGCTTGTTGCTTAGTTTGATTATAATTGTAACCTATGTAAGTGAAGTAATTCAAATCTTTGGGGGAGGGGAGCATGGGGTCCCATGGACTTGGTCCACTTGGCAGTTGAGCCACTCCTCTTTTGAAACAACACCATCTGTCATCGTATTACATCGATTCCACATGGTTTGATTTAACTGTCACAGTGTCAGTAAAACTGGAATGAAACACGTGTTATTCTATGATCGCTTATAGTCTGTTACTTTTCAAATGATGTAGGCCTAATGATACATGAAAAATAATATTTATTGTTTGTAGGTCATACATAGTTATCAACTGTTTCTATTTATTTAAAGTTGTTGTAATAATGACTTTATATGTTATGAGAATAGTTATTAACCTACATATGACAGATCTCTAGCCTATATTACTAGCCACCATTTCAAAATGAAGAAGAACAAAACTTTTCTGAAAAACTTAGACAGAAGAGAAATTATCATTGAAAACAAATTTGTTACGGCAGTCAAAAAACTTAGTTCGATAAAGCCTTACTTTAACTTCTCTTGAGTACGCCTGTTTGCAATAATTGCTTGAATATACGAGGAAGTCAATTTAAGAAAGTTCAAGAGAGGTAAAAATTGAAATGTATTAAGGGAGAGAACTCTTGTCCAAGTTTGACCAATGTAAAAAAGTAGGTCAAAAAAGTAATAAGTAAAATGTCTTATTCTTCGAAGGAAAATATATTTCATTATTTACTGAATATTGTTTCTTTTTTATATGTATATATATAGGTCGTTAAATTGAATGCATGGGAAACATATTTCTGTGAAAAATTAACTTCAGCACGAGAAAATGAATTGCAAGTTCTTCAGAATGACTGTTTTTATAGAAGTGTAAATTGCTTCTTCTGGAATGCTGCTCCCTTTTTAGTATGTATATAATTAGACTTCGTTTACATTTCCTAATAAACATTTAGCTATTAGGCCTACTAATTTTGTGATGATTTCCTACAAGTTATTACTTCCTGTTTACTCATCGTGTCATACCACATCCGCTCTTTGAAAACAGGACGTACTTGGTTTCCTGGACTTCTTTTTCAAATTATCGTAGATTAACGTACGAGCGCAAGCGTTATAATTAATTAACGATTTGATAACGTCTAAAAATAGGGTGGTTTTCTTTTGGTGTGCAAGTATAGTAGAAATAATTTTTAAGAAATGTTATTCATGTTATTAAAGGGTAAAAGGTAAACAAGGTGGAGAAATATTTATAAAGATGTACCAATCCACCATTCCATAGAGTCAAGAAGTGTTAACACCTCCCTGAAAATGCTCTTGGGATGTCCTGTCCGACACCCATGTCCTGTGTCGATACACGAGATCTTTTCAAATAGATATATAATACATGTATTGTAGAATAATATTCTATTCATATTATGGAATATCTATGTTTTAGGTATCTCTGTTTATGTTTGCTACACACGTTTATTTAAATGGGACTGTGAGCCTGGATGCTAAGACTATATTTATAGCTATCGGTATGGTCTCGGAGTTAAAGTATGGCATCAACGAATTTCCCGAATCTATTTATTGCTTAGTGAAGGTAAGGCGATCGCTCGGTGCCCATGGCTGAAGCAGAAAATAAGACCAATCGAAATAACGCTTATCGTTTATAAAAATAATTAATTTTCTGAATATATTTTTTTAAATCTTTCGTCAGATGATTAAATTTCTAAGAAAATAGCAATTAGAATTTTGCTCTGTTTCAGGTTTCGAAATTGATTTTTGATGTTTTGACATACTATTTATTGCAATATTTCAGATCACAAGCAGTCTGCGTCGTATCCAGAATTTCTTATTTGAGAAAGAATTGCCGGAATCTCAGAACGAAGACAATTCCATCGTTAACGGTTAGTATGTTTTCAATGTATAATTCATTTTTTCATAAGGATACTCAACCGTCTCCATGTCCTTTTATTACTCTGTAACCTTTTCTTTAAAATTAAATTGCTCAGTTTATCGTGTAATTGAATGTTAAAACAGCATGAAGTAAGAATTGTAAGAAGTGATATTTAAATTTTCAGACTGAGAATGATTATATATCATAGAGGCTATATAGTTACATCAAATTTACAGATATTTCAAAATTACACCACTCTTCATTACTCAACTAGTACACGATATTTCAATATATACAACCTAATTGAATTCACCCGTTAATCTGGTCTGATGGTAATATCCTAGTAGAGATTATTGGATATGGATTCTCAGGTGGCATGTACTTTTGAAAACTTTCAGATATTGGCATACATGTATGTTGGTCCGTTGCTGGCATCGGTAGAGACATTTACATTAATAATTCCAGGAACTCTTTTACCATTAACATCTCGTGATCTTTCGTTTTTACAGAGGGTGAAATTGTCTTCAAGAATTGTAAGTACCAATGGGAAGATGGTGCACCAGTCATCAGCATGTAAGTAAGCCTAAAAATTTATTGAATCTAGAACATTTCCATTTTCATTTTCTATGCAAAACTGACAATAATTTTTTAATTATTAAAAACAAAATTAACTTTCGGGTTCTGTTTCTCAAAACAAAACGGCAAATTTGATGGTTATTTAGGATGGCTTTTAAATTTTCGTGATTTTACTGATTGACCCTTGAGAATTGGAACATTAAAATCGTCTAACCACCTTTCCTTGTATGTTACAGAGATAATATTAACATCCGAAATGGAAGTCTTGTGGCAATAATTGGTAGAGTTGGAGCTGGAAAATCAACATTTCTCTCATCCATTCTTGGTGAAGTACCAAATTTAGATGGCAAATTTTATTCCAAGGTATTTAGATCAACTTTTAATGCTCTGTGAATTTTAAAAAAGAAAAATTTCAATATTGATATAAAAAAAAAATACAATCCCATCCATACTTTAAGATTGAGTGTTCACAAGAAAGAACTCGCAATTTATTCAAATCCAGTCTTGCCTTGATCATAACAGTATTTTTATACGCCCACTTTATAATGTGATCGTATATTGTCGTCGCCCCTGTACGTCCGTCCGTCCACAATTTGCTTGTGAACGCAATAGAGACAGCAGTTTTTATCTGATTTGAATGGAATTTGTTGCCGATAGAGGAGACAGTTTATGTCAGAATTTTATTAAATGATGTGTGTTTGTTTAAATCAACAATATATTGCACGAATTTGATTTTTGGTATGATTTAACACAGATAGGTGACCGCCCTTGATATACTGAAAATGTACCAGGAAAGTGGGCGTATCTTGCTAGGCAACCACTTGTTGCATAATGAAACATGATGGTTAAGAAAGGGTAACTTGAATAGCAAGTACAGATATAACCTCAATTAATAGCGAATTGTCTCTTTTCAATCAAATTCACAGGGATCTATATCTTACGTTCCACAACAAGCGTGGATACAGAACGCTACATTAAAGAACAATATATTGTTTGGTCAAGATCTGAATGAAGAAAAATACCAAAATGTGATTGAATCTTGTTGTTTAAAAACTGATTTACAAATTTTACCAGCCGGTGATCAAACTGAAATTGGGGAAAAGGTTCGTTTTTAAAACAATTATCGGACATTAATGGAGCAGAATATACAAAAAATCACAAATTTCGAAAATTGTTATATATATGCGAGATTTATGTCCTGTATTGCTGTATTGTAGGCCCACTGTTCAGAAATACTACTAAGTGCAACAAATTTACAATTATTAGATCAGATCAGAAACATAGTTTTCTTCTCGTGGTCACTTTACACATTTTTGTGGGGAAATTTTACGGGGTAACCTTATCCGATTCCTGTCTTGTCTTTAAGTTCTTAAGTCTCACTGTGATATGTGTCGTGGCGGTCATCAACTGGGTTTGACATCTCGGCATCATTTTAGGGCGTCCATATACCCCATTTGGTATATTATTATATGTTATTGAATCTTGGTGCCTTACGATTTCTAAATTTAATAACAGGGTATTAATCTAAGCGGTGGTCAGAAACAACGAGTATGTCTAGCTAGAAGTTTATATACTGATGCTGATATTTATTTATTTGATGATCCACTCAGTGCTGTAGATAGTCATGTCGGTCAACATTTATTTAAAAGTATTTTCAGTAACAATTCACCTCTTAAATCAAAGGTAAGTGATACTTGATCACAACGTGGGCACTATCGACAAGTGATTGTCAGAGGCACAATCAAAGAGTTCATTAGATCTATTGGCAACAGTACACGTCGCTTTATGACAATTACCAGGTTGCACTTGTTGTCACACTTTTGATATGTTATGTTAGATTAAATTTATAATGCTGATTATAGTTTGAATAAGATTCCTGTTTTGGAATATTGCAATTATATTATCTTTAGGTGTATATTTTAACGTATTGTAAGATATTTTTCTTCATCTTTGTAGACTCGTCTGTTAGTAACACATAATTTAAGTTATTTGGATCAAGTTGATACCATATTATTAGTTTCTGATAATTCCGTGCAGAAAGTTAACTTCAGTGACATTTCTCATCTTATAACTTCAAACGGTCATGGTAAGTTTGATGTCAATTGAAACAATATTAGGATTTACTCTTACTTTCTGTGTGTGCCTAACAGGAAATGTTAAAATGAAAAAATACTAAAAATGAAATAGTTTTTGTGTGAGGTTGAACAGGGAAAGCAATCTGAAATCTGTCACGGCAATGCATAGTGATTGTGCGCAATCCCGAATTGTACAACGGTATTTCATCACCACTTCCCTTTAGGCGCCTGTAGCTTTAGTTATTCAAGAAAAATTTGAAATTTTTTGTTGTGGTCACGTATTTTATGGGAAATGTTCGTAGTTTTTCGCCAAATTTGGTCCATAACGGACACCAATGATTTTATTTTCAACCTTTAAGGCCTTAAACTTAAGGAGGACACAGAATCATCTCAATCAGTGGCAGAAGGAACAAATAAAAAGAGGTAAAATGGTTATTTTAAAATGTAGGTCTATCTGTAAGGGTTCTTTAATGGATGCCTTGCCTTGAGGATCCAGAAGATCAGATGACTGAAGCGGTGTTGGTATTGAACTGCTTCAGATAAATCTTATTTTACATCACAGTTATCTGGGAGTGCGATTATATTCTTTGTTCCAATAATACCTCCTGTATTAGCTGATGGAGAATGTAATGTATATTCCATCGACATATCATGTCTTTCTGATTTTGATTGAAGTGGATTTCATATTGAAATTCTGTTTTGTTTTGAAGGTTGTTGAGTAAACAGACTAGTTCACAAGATGGTAAATTTATAGAAGAGGAGTCTATCCATGGCAAGGTTATATATATAGATTTTGAATCCGGGATCTGGATTCCCAATCTTAAAATTCGCAAATAAGATAGGCCTATCCCAAAATAACATACATGTAAATTGACAATTGATAACCCCAATGATATCAGAAAAGAAACAATGTTCTGCTTTATCAGTGATAGCTTACACACTTATATAATATATATTTATATAACTATAAACAAGAATAGGAAACGTTTCACATGAGATAAAAAAATACATTGAAAAATATGGTTGTCTTCGTCATCGTGTCACACGTGCAAGACTCAAAGCCTTTCGATAGCAACTTGTCGTTTAATGACAAGAGATGACACCGAGAAATAGCTTCATGAACTTAAGGCAAAAAATATATGACAGACACTTGTCAAAAATAATTTGGCTTCTGTTTTTCTGTTTAATAACTTGATGATTGTAAGTGCTAGGCTACACAAGTTATCCTTGTCTGTTGGCTGGAATGAAAGTTTTGAAAGGTTGTGAGTGATTATCAGACGTAAATATTAGCATTTCTGCTTAATTAATGCTGTCTGGATTTACTTTACGATATACATTGAAAATGTTAGATATTAGATGGAACTGTTATATTTCATTTGAATAACACAGTTTCCTCCGAGCAAGAATCCACTTTCACAATGTCGAGCTATTAAGTACTTCGTACTTATACCTTGACTGCAATAGCCACCTTTCTCGTACCATGGAGGTTTGTAGATAAGGCGATTTAATTGTATCGTACGTAGCGATTATAGTCCATCGGAAGCTTCGACAAAACTTCTGTGAACACAAAACCATAATGTTTATAGTGTTTCTGCATGTTGGCGATTCCGATTGGCTGTATTCGCTTGGATATAATCAAAACAAATTGCTGCATTCTGTGAACAGAGACCTGGGGTTACCCTAATCCTAGGGTTCATTATGGAGGTTTTCAAAACCAATAAGGGTTAGCTCAGGAAAGGTCCTAGCTTGTTCAAAGATATGATTTCCGCATGATGCGCATCTTCTCAACACAAATTGGTTAGGAAAAAGGTGCTTCAATGGTCCAAAAACAAATTCTACCGTTCTCGCTTGTGACAACAAAAGGGTTAAAATGGTGGGCACAGGCAATTAGTGTAAGCTAGGTTTAGGCCATTCTATATTTCACAGTTAAGAAGTAATAGCTTGACATTATGAAGATGTGCAAGAAGGTCATTGGATTTTCAAAATCGACTAAGCTACGTTGCCTTTATATGCTGCTTTCAGGTACAATGGTCAGTATACAAAGGTTATTTTGAAACAATTGGGAAATCACAAGTTATATTAGTGGCTGTATTATTTTTTTCACATCACCTGCTACATCTCTTAGCTAACATCTGGTTAACAAAGTGGACCGATCAATTAGACAATTTACAGACATTTTCCAATACTACTGGAGACGTCATACAAGAAATAAATATTTATTTCATCTCATATTATGGTGGATATGGGGTTAGCATAGGTAAGTTTACATTCCAATACGTCCATACTCACAACGACGAGTAAGGGTCTTGTCGTTCATTCGAATTTGACAATAATCGCGAGGCCCTGCGCTCCGTTTGCTACAGGCTGTGCACGGTCAATATCCTTAGACAACGAAAATGAACTAAGTAAGTTTTTGTTCTTCTACCCTGCAAAATTTTCCCTTATGGAACAGTACATGGAGGTTGCCCAATCTGTACATACAATTTCCATTTCTGTTTCTTCTCAGATCATGAAGAACATTATTGTAAAGTAATAATACATTAATTCATGTAGTGTTAATACAAATTAGTTCAATAATAGTACTGAAAAGCTTCAAGCCATATGATAGTCGTATAAAGTTTACTCTACATTTCGAACGTATATTGACAGTGATTAATACAATTTTCATACAGAGATCTTATTACTGACCTTTGATCTGGGTTGAGGATCTAGCAAGCAATTGACTACCAGAAAGAGTCTGTTTTGAGTTATTTGTGCATGAAAATGTTTGAGTATATCCAAATTAACCATCGTGCCAATAATGATAAGCGTGAATTTTAACCGAAGGACCAATGATGTATTTTTCCAATTTGTCTCTAAAAATCCAGTTGCCAGCAGCTCTCAGATAGACCATGCGAAGATGGTATCGTTTGCATTGGATAAGTTTGTTTGGTTTAAACCGTTGGCAGATATAATCATGTCTACTTTCAGTTTCACGTCTTCAACAAACTTAAAGATGACATTCACCAATTAAACCCAATCAACGCCTACTCGATATAATTAGACAACCTTGGCCATATATAACTAGTTGACAGTCAAAAATGACAAGAAAGTTATAGTCTTCTTTCAAGTTATTGACTAAGTCAGACTCCATGTCTGAAAACCAAAGATGTTTTTGAAATAATTTGATTATTTGCCCCAATCGTGTTAAAAGCTCGGAAGCTAAATTTACATCTTTAATGATGTTGAGAAGCGACGTCATTGTTTGTAATGGATTTGATTTTAGAGAAACTTTTTTTGGCTAATCAACGAATGAATGTTGAAACTATACAGGTGAAAGATCTTCAACCAGAAAAATATTATTTCGCGATTTGTGTCCCTTTTCTGCAATTTACTAGCATGCTGAAGCCAGCTATTTCCTTCTTCACCATTATCGAGGAAAACATATCATAACCGGAAAATCTCAACCCTAATTAAGCAAGCAAAATATAGGTAGTGCCAAAATGAATATTAAATATTTCGTTTCACCAACCACAAGCCGTTTGCTCGTGATGCTGTATTTTTTAATAAAATGCACAATGTTAAAAAGACCCTTAAGCTAGGGACTATACTCTGGTTACCACGGTACTATCACTACATTGTAAAATGTGGGAAGTAATGAGGCTCGCTCGCCTCAGAATACAACATCTTCTATTCATTACCAAGGTAGATTTAGATATATGGAAACTGCTGAGAATTGCAGAATGTTGGCGACTCAAAGAGCAATTGGTAGTAACTGGTGGAAAAATCTGATCAATCGCTAGATTGTCGATAGTCGACAACCGATTCAATATTGGACTATAAACAAATCCCGAAACGGTTAGGTATTAGCCGACTCGAGAAAGTTTGATGTATCCCAATTCCATATAACGCAATTCCATAAGGTGAAGGCATCTACATTTCGTAATGTTGGGCCTCATTGTCAACCCCCGCCTGTCTTAAACCAAGTAGTGAATCTGTCTTGAAATTATGAAGAAAATTAATGGAATTTAAATTTCCCATGACATTGAAAAGACTTAGTAATTCTGAAACTGTTGACGAGTATAATAGGCGGAATCTATTGAGACTGTAAACCATTATCTGAGTTAGGTTAATAAGGAACAAGTATTATTATATTATCAGATATTCTGACAACATGTCAAGACTTATAAAGATATAATAAAGACGTTATATGACAGCTTTCCTCAATTACTATATTTTACTTTTACTCCTTTTGACTCCATAAACAACAAGTTAAAGACATTTTCTATTGTTTACTCGTTTAAACGGAGCATAATAATATTTACTTGTTTGGTATACAAGCTCAAATATGCGGTAAGCGGAAGTAGATTCTGAAAAGTAGGCCTACAAACAATTGCTGGTATATTCAGGTAGTTAAGGTAATATTTATACGGATGTATAACTATAAATAAATATTCACCGATAATAGTTTTAGCGAAAGAATTGATCCGTTTGAAACTAATTGTGAATGTTGACAGATTATCGGTAAGCTCTGCACTTTAGTGTAGATCAACTCTTTACTTGTTTTTTTTATGGCCCCACGCCGTTATACGCGTGTGATATAGAATGTTGCAGTCAAACTTGGCCAACATTGATGACTGCAATAAAGACTTTTATTTGACAGAGAGAACTTAGTAATAGAGTAACTTCACATTTTAGCTATGTCATTCTGTTAATTAATATTTTCCCTGTTTTATTTCAAAGATTATATGGTATTTGTTATTATTGAGTAATTTATCATTTGTCTAATAGTTGAAGGAAGGCCACTGTCATACGATACCATTTCCTGTTAAGTTCCGGTTAACTGTCTTGAACTGATGTATAGTTTTTATTTAAGCGTAATATTCACGTAATTTCAGTGCAGTTAAGTTTCCACGTTAGTATCAACGTGTGTGTCGTAAAAGTACAACGAAATGACAAATTAAAATGTCCAGAGAATGTTTCCAAAATCAGTTTTTACGTCAATATCCAATATGTATGCATTTCTTTTTACGCACATCGAGTCTCTCATTTAGCACTGAATAACTGTCTCCTCCATAACCTATACTGATATAGGATCTCGTCGTTTGAGGTAGTCAATGTAGTCTGAAAAACTCGATTGTAGAAGACTTCAACAGAGCATGTAATACCCTTCAGTATTTGCAATCGGTTTGCCATCACTGCAATGCTTATATATAATCGTATTATAAAGATCTATATTCTTCGTATATTTCAGTATGTGTTTTAATATTAATGTGTGCAGCCATTAATAGATCTATATTACAATCTGCCAGAGTCACACATCATAAATTAGTTACAAGTGTTCTCCGGTCACCCATGTCATTTTTTGAAACAACACCAATCGGACGTATCAATTCCCGCTTTGATCTGGAATGTATTGATAATGAGATACCCCAATCTTTATTGTGCTTCCTTGAATCATCTTCGTGTACTTTAATGGCAATTATCACCATGTGTTATGGTTCGAAAGAAATCTTGTTAATATTCATACCAATGACTGGTTTATATTTATGGGTTCAGGTAAGAGTCATTATTACCCACCATGCTTCAGGAGAGGGCAATAACCACATGTCACTAGTTGACGGTTACAACCCTTGAAGTCAGTCTAAAATTTATTTTATTTCAAAATAATACCTCCCTTTAATTTGAAACCTTTTTAAAAACGCCTTCTTCATAATGTGAACGTATATTGTCGTCACTGATGTTCAGTTTTGTGATTGCGGTAAAAAGCCAGCTTTTATCAGATATTGATGAGATCTTGCATTAGGGACATTTTCGATGAACATTTTTTTAGTTACTGCCCATAGAAACGCTAAATAATTGTAATTCAATAATACTATTGTTTTATTAGTGCATTCTATTCTATTCTATTTTCAGCAATACTACATCAATACAGCAAGTCAGTTTCGACGAATGATGACAAGCACTCATTCAGCTATTACCAGTTTTTTCAATGAAACATTGATGGGGACTGAGGTTATAAGAGCATTCCATGTACAAGAACGATTTAAAAATCAATTTGGTTTAAAATGTGACAAAAATTTCAATTCACATTATCATAAACATTTAGCCAACAGGTAAATAGATATTACCAACTGTTCAAAAATCCCGTTTTGCAAATGACTTTTATAGAAGGTTGAGATGTAGCAAATAGTGTTTTTTTATGATCAAAATCTACACAAATCTTCGATACGTAATGCTGAAGCCTCATGTTACAAATGAGCGAATATTTATCTGATAAGGCTTCAAAAAGATCAAAGGCTAAATTTTTATTGCAAACAGCAACTGAAGGTCTCAGAGGTCAGAGGTAAGTTCTATTTGAAAATGGTGAATTTAAACCAATACGTGATGAAGTTGGCGAAAAGTGAGAAAGTACAATTGCTAGAATAGGATCATCACATGTTCCCAGGTAAAAGCCTTGTCAATAGGAAAGAGCTCACGCCTCTTCTCTCTTTTCTTTTCACAAGGCATTGTATTGTAGAGTAACTGATAATGACCCGTTTATTTTGTAGATGGCTAGACATTTATCTTACTCTCATCTGTACTGTAGTATCTTCCGTCGCCATCTTTATTTTCATGACAGCATTTTCATCCGTTACTTCCGGTGTCATGGGTTTAGCCATGGTATTTATTGGTGAAGTGAGTTTTTGTTGTTGTTTTATTTCTCATTATTATATTGAAATATTTTTCTAGATATTCAGTTGTGTTTCAGATTGCTTCTTTGTTAAGTCTAGTTGGACTACTACTACTTGATAAGATAGGCTTGTCGTGCAGCAGACCGTTTGCTGTACATGACAATGTTCGACAATGAATTTTACAATTCCGCATTGTTATTTACGAGGTTTTTGCTGAATAGTGCTTTTCATGGGTTGAATAATTGATCAAACCCAGCTTTCAAGAATGTATTAATGGCCGGGTTATAAAATTAAGTGCCTTGCTAAGTTTTGCCGAGAGTGTATATGTTATCTTGTCGAACACGCTATCTTTCACGAACATAACAGAGTACAATGTAGCACAAAAACATGAAATATCACGCAGATCATAGAATTAGTCGGCCCTTAGAGACATGCTAAAATAAGGCAATTGATCGCAAAGTGGAAATTATACCATTTAAATTTTCGTTAAGGGGATTGTGAAGAGGTTTTCTAAAATAATATTATAAGTATTGGGGACACTGATTGCATCAATTTGCATCATTCTAATACCAATTCTAAAATATGTCTGTGGTCCCTGCAATTCCACAAAAAATAAGAATTGGAATTGTACAAATAATTAATGCTATCAGTGGCTTCGATAGACATTAATGAATAATAGAAAACGTGTGCACCTTAAATATATCTCCCTTTTTTAAACTGTAGTTAATAAGGTCTAAGCGAAAAGGCAAATTTCGAATACGACAATTAAAAAAAAAACATTCAATGAAATAAATCATTTTCATTTTAGTTTGCTGGTAACTTTGTTTGGTTTGTGATTATCTGTAGTGTTGTTGATAATGAAATAATTAAAGTTGAAAGAATCCTAGAGTTTATAAATTCACCCAATGAGGTATAGTAATTGAATATTCTAATATTTTCGAAAGTATAATCTTAGAATATCATGGATAGTAAAGCTTCCCAAGCTATTTAACTCTTCATGCCTATCAACATTAAGACGCCACTCATAGACCACTAAAAGTAACGTAAAAGTTGTCCGTTTTGAACAAGTAATGGATTGTACCAGATGTTCATTGCTTATGGTATAGAATTCTAATTTTCCACCAAATTCCAATAAAACTTCATGGGTACCCACCTGCTGAAATAGGGCACAATAGCCAGAGAATTTTGAGACCTACCCAGTCGATTTTTAATGGACTTTCCGGTTCACCGAGATTCAGACGCATTTAGGGATTTAAACTTACACCATGATTGTTACCATAAAGACATTGTAAGATATTCTACGATGTCCTTATATAACGCATGATTGAGAAAATCGTCCATCGGAAGCACTGGGAGATTTTGTAACATGTTTAGTTTTTATTCTTGTACCACCGGTTTATTTTTTTAGGCTGATTGGGAAAAGGGTCCTGTGGTTATTCCAAAATCATGGCCACCAAAAGGAGAAATCCAGGTGAAGAATCTGTGTGTTTCTTATAGAAAAGACGAAAACATTTTACATAATGTTTCATTTCTAATAAATACAAATGAGAAGGTAATTGTTTATTGAATTTACATTATTATGAGTTGTTTCTAAAGTTTTAAGAGTAAACAACTTTAAATAGATCTATAAAAATAAAATTTCCATAAATAATCATTTTTTGATATTTAATTGTAAGACATTATCGACTGCGTATGTTTTGCTATTATTAAAAAAAAAGTTTTGTACGAAAAATACATACTGAAGTCAGATTATTTTCCAAACCTTCCGACCGAATTATGTATTATGTAAAATTGCATGTTTATCTGTTCGATTGGTCCCTATTGTATTTACTGTGGGATTTTCAAGCTATAAAGTAACATGGTTGTGTAAGGCTGCTAGATTTTAAAAAATACTTCCTAGAAGACCCAGCAGAAAATGACTATTAGATTACGATTCTGCAATCTGACATCTGGTTTATTTTAGGTTGGAGTTGTTGGACGAACTGGGGCTGGAAAATCATCTCTAATGTTATCATTGTTTCGATTGGTTGAACCTGTCCAAGGATCAATTTTTATAGATGATGTTGATATAGGTCAAATTGGTTTACATCAACTTAGATCTAAAATTTCTATAATTCCACAAGTAAGTCAAAAGACTTTAACGATTTCTATGTACGTCCACACGTAGTACGATCTGACACTTCCGTCCTTACGTCAGTTGGATACTTGAGTTATGGTCTGTTGGAGCTATTTCAAAGAAACACCAATAAATTTTAGGCGTTATATTTCGCCAAAATGTGCCTTACAGAGCTCTTTTGGGCTATCCATAACATTTTTTAGAATTGATTTGTTTGTTTTGCCGCATTGAATAAGATGTTAATGTACTTTAGTGTAGTGTGTTATATTTCAGGACCCTATTTTATTTATTGGTAGTATAAGAATGAATCTTGACCCCACGGACCAGTACACAGATGATGAGATATGGACAGTTTTAAAACAGACACATTTATATGATACCATTAAAGCCTTACCCAACGGTTTACTGTCACCGTGCGGGGAAGGGGGTAATAAATTTAGGTAGGATATAGTTTTCTTGTTGAAGTTTAAATTTCATTGTTCAATGTTCAGTCAGTCTCACTGATAGTTAGAGACTTGATTTTCACTGTTAAATCAGACTTGATGTTCGATGTCAATCATTAATACTGATAGTCATAGACCTGATGTTCGGTGGTCAATCAGTAACAATCATAGCGATAGACTTGATGTTCGATGTTCAATCAGTAACACTGATAGACTTTAGACACAACGCACTTATGGTTGATATTGGTTATTGTGTTTTCAATGTTCTGTTAGAAGAAATAAATATAATCTCAATACCTCGAGCGATGTTTGTATAATTTGAAGATCTGCTAATATCTGGGCTATATTTGAATCAGGTTCTTCCTTGTTTTTATCATTATTAATCATAATATAACGATCTTGTAATTTCAGTGCGGGGGAAAGACAACTACTATGTTTAGCAAGAAGTTTATTAAGAAAATGTAAAATATTAATATTAGATGAAGCAACGGCTGCAGTAGATATGAAAACAGACGATTTAATACAAGAAACGTTACGATGTGAATTTAAACACTGCACTGTATTAACAATAGCTCATCGTATTAATACAGTTTTAGATTATGATAGGTGCGTATAGTGGGCTCTAAATATTACTGAATGGAAACACCAAAACTAATTCTGCAAAATGGGAGAGAGGAATCCACTGTCATGTGTTGAAGTAGTTACTGAAATTTGTACAAAAATCCAAAATTATTCGTAATCTGTGATATTTCCCCTTTTCTGCCAATCATTAAAAGTTATAAAATTGTTAGGTAGCATCGACGTATTCATGGACTCCAGTGACGGAGTGACGAACTCACTGCCGGAGTGGCGAACTCATTGACGGAGTGACAATCTCACTGACGTACTGATGTATGAGGTAGCCCTGACTCCTTTCTGTCATATTTCCTCTTTTCGGCTTTGGAAAACTGAAAGCACAGATACATGCAGATGAACTGACATTTGTATTTCCTTCAACAAAATTTTTTAAAATCTACTGACAAAAAAAAATCTTCCATAGAAACAACTTCCCTGAAGAGCACCAAATGAAGCAGAAAAAGGAGGAAGTAAATGTAATTTTATATCCTTTGAATTTATTGACCTTTCCAGATAGTTAAGAATAACATTGTTTGTGTCTAATAGAAATGTGATTTGAAATGATTCTGAAATCATTGCTTTTTCAGAATAATGGTACTGGATAAAGGCCGTATCGCAGAAATAGACACACCAAAAAAACTTTTACAAGACACAACTGGAATATTTTATAACTTGGTTAAGGCATCAAATATCCACGCTCCATCATGATATTTGTTTTGTTTGTTGCCTCTGTTTATTAAAACTTGATAAAAGAAATGTCAAGGAACATGTTTACATTGACACTACAAAAATAAATTATTGTTATAAGACTTGTTTATCAAATTAATTGCACAATCATGGTCTAGGGCGATAATCTGAGGATTTTCGAAATAGTTTATACATAGACGACTTCTGCAGCTTCCTTGACTGAAAATGCTACCTGTGGTAGAACGTTACGAAATATTCATGCTTATCCACATTATTTGAACCAATATATATAGGCTTAAATAATGTTGAATGTGACAACATGTAATTAATGTAAGAATGTTTTTCACTGCATTTGTTAAAAAAAAAACAATACAATCAAAGAGACATTTAATTTAAAAACTAATGATTAGGCTATATCCTACTTGACATCTTGATACAGCAAAATTCCAATCTTAATAGGCTGTTGATCCGTAAATAAATTATCTCTTAGCGGTTGATGGGCTTTTTACATTTCTTTTTAAGGTCGAAGGCGACGATTTAAATGGCAAAGGACTTGACGCATGACCTTTCATAATTTGTTTTTTACTTAATTCTAGTTGATCCAGCTCTGCCTGTAGTTCCAGTTTCTTCAAATTCATTTTCACTAAGTATTCATGCTCCTCTCTACTAAGAGATTTAATTTCTTTGTTTTTTTCCACATTGGACCACCTCGAATATCGCACTGCTTTACCACCAGAATTCTGAGTCAACCACACTCCTTTATGATATGTATTTCCATCGGCCATGTCTCTAACACGTTTTACAGAGCTTCAAATAAGCATTAATGATTCTCTGAAACCAGATTAAAACAGTATGAATACGCATGTATATCCACATAAAATGTAAGGTTAATCAAAGCACACTTTCTGAATTTCCAGTTTATATTTTTTCCAAGTTCTTCATAAAACTAGAATTTCAAAATTTGAAAAACAGTTGCACACATTCAAAATACGTCCATGAACAACTATTTCTTATCTAAAGCCACCAAATAAGATAATAAAAGACAAAATCAAGAACAAAGAAAACTCGGTAGACATACAAAATGATACCAATGAAATATATCTGTGTATGAACACTTGAAAATACTATGGTGGAGGATCAGTTTAATTTCAAATGTAAACAATCCAATAGGCTTAGGGTGTATTGGATTTCTATGACAGTATATTGCACTAAATACTGGGATAATGCACCGGATTTAACACTATTGATAAAGAATAATTATTCCCGTAGTGCTAACCTAAATATCGACGTGTCTCAAACTGACATAACTAGAAGCGGTTTCACCCTTGAGCTTTACAATCGATGGAGGTGGTAAGACAAGTATTCTTACATATTCACTTGGAGAAAACAAACCCAAATTTGAGGTAACAATACGTTATTGGCGGTAAATGCACTACAGCTAGCAAGAAGTAGGTTAACAATCCGGCATATTGCATCACGTATGATATACCAGTTTTATCATGAATCTTCCTAAGGAGTTATTTAGCTTTCCAACTCCATATTTGGAACGGCTGCTTTCTAGGAAGAGACAGACTGTGGGATTATAAAAGTTTAATGATACACCCACCAATATCCGCCTGTCAACATTCTTTTATTTGTAAATAATCTGGAATATTGCAACACGAATGATATGAAGGTATTATCATGAATCCGAAATTTGTTTTGTTTTGTGATTTTTGATGACGAGGCTGAGTGGTATTAAGAATAACACCCTAAGGAATTTTATATATAGCCTTCTTACACCATATCTGGAACGTCGGTTTTCTAAGAAAAGACAGTGAGGATATCAAGTTTTCAGTATATATATACGCCCGCCAATATCCGCCAGTCAACATCCCTTTATTTGTGATTAATAATACCACAATTGCGGCGTTAGTGGGGGTGCACCCTAGAAAAAAAGTTTGTTTGCCCCTCCATACAGTGTTCGAGCAAGAATGTATGCTTTGGTTGCTGATTAGTCAAAATTTGAAAAATCTATCACTGTGTTTGATCAGTTCGGCAAGTTTTGCTTGATATTTCGATAGCTCTGTTTACTTTAAACCAAATTTCGAAATATAAAATAATAATAATTGAAGCCTATCTTTCATTATGTTAAATCCGGATAAAATGAGAAAGGCTTGGATCTTACACAGAAGATTATAACAGAAAATAACTTCAATTTTCAAATTTTGAAGATTAAAATAAATATGAGAAAGTTTAATCCTTGGTTAAATATTATCTCAGAGAATATGTTATATCGCTAATCTGTCTGATAAGCACTATTATTGACACAGGACAATATTGATCATGTTCTAATATTTGTATGAAGAAAAACTGGTCAAAGGGCCAAAAAGTGCAAAATTTATCAGATAACTGCAAGAAGTAGGCTATATAGAACCACAAAGTATTGATTGTAGTCTGTAGCCAACACAATCAGTATGAACAACCGTATGAAGGACCGTCATGGTTTTTGTTTTTGCATTTTAGGGGAGAGGGGGGTCAACGTAAAGCACCATGTACAGAAAAATATTTGGCCATTCAACATCTTTCTTGTTTTCATGACGATTATTACTGTTGCACTGAATTTGGTTTATTTCATTATTTTATGAAAGGTTTTAATTTGATTTTTCACAGTTTGAATCGTACTACACATTATAGAAGGCTGTCAGAAGAAATAGACGATTAGTCATAAACAACTTTGATTACCACTATCATATTTCTTTCAATCAACCTTAATAAACGTTTTCCTGGTCATCTAATTTAAAATCACTGTGAGATGGTATTTGAGATACGGAAGAAATTGGCCAAGGTTATTGTCCGTTCAAAAAGGATTTACCAGTTCAAATTCATGTGTCTAATTTCTGTTGAACATTAAAGTAAATTTGAATAATTGTAATTCAATGAATTCCTCAGTGCTCATGGAAAATTTAATATGGATGAAGATACAGAGAACTGAACTTGTCACAATGGCAGTTTTCTGTGGTAAGAACAATAATACAGAAATCACACCATATATAAGACATAGTCTAAGAATTAGTGGCATTCTAGAGATAGTCATAGGATTTCAATTCTCAAAATATGTTGACAGTGTTTCTAGATATTATATACCAAACATTCACATTATGAGCCTCTAATGACCTCCTTTTACTTATAATTCCACAGACTGTTTCAAAATCTACTTTAAAAGTATAAACAAATTAAAAGTCTAACTCACTGGTCGACAGCTAATCAGATCAAATTTGTATGCACGAGCACTCGCAGGACAGGTTTTTTCCCAAATAGAATTGTAAATCCTGACGAAGAAGATTAGAGGGCATTGGACAGATTGGTCAACAGCAAAAGCGACAGTATATGGTCCTATAGAAATACAAAATCTAGCTCACTGGTTGACAGGCGTGAGAATTACAGGCAAGTAGAGTTGCACCCCTTATTTATTTTTATTAATTGTATTTTTTGTTAAAGTCATGAAAATATTTAAATGTCAGACAAATCACTTCCGGTTTTTATGATATATAAAATTCTTTCCTTCAGAAAAGCCTTGCCAGTTTAAAAAATCATAAAAATCTTATACAACCCTTATCCAATACAGTAGGATACTATTAAAATAATTGTTTGTTCAATATACAATAATATATATATTTTTCACATTTTTATCTACAACTTTCTTTCAATATATAACATCATAACAAATATATAAATATAAATGAAATACAGCATATAATAATAAATAATTATAACCAAGTAACTATTAATGAAACATCATGCTTTAATCCGATCACCAAAAAATAATGAAAATTTGGTCAACACTTACATTTATGCTAAGGGCAGATAAGCAAATTTTTCACAAAGTGGATAAAGCCAACTTTTGCCAGTGAATGGAACTTCTGTAAACAGTTGGCTGACAATATATTACATTTTTTATATTCATATGGACATAGGAAATTGTCTTCAATGTGAAAGTTCACACCTGTCAATTTTTTAAAAATTTTAAAATTCTGCTCTCGTGCCAAAAAAATACACTCCTTTGCCTCTAGCATAAGACTATTTATATCATTCTAATAACAGTTTAATTACGAAATTAGATTAGATAACAGTTTGTAACATAGCAACACTTCTATATATAGTACTTACTAATAATTTAATTTGTCAATAACTATTTAATGTTCAAAAACAAATTCCAAATACCATTTACAATATTTTTCACAATCATTGATCTGAACAACCCCTTAAAATCATACCAAATTAATTAAATTGTCATCCCAGTTGTGTGAGATAGTAAATTTCAAATAATCAAACCACTATACTGCCTTACATTTATCTAAAAAATGATTTTTGTTGAAGTGTAGTTAATAGTTGATATCAAGTTTCACATACTCCATAAAATTTAATTTTAACCTTTGAACATCGAGTGCCAATAAAATAAATGTCATATACCTCCAAATGATGTGATGTGACATTATTTTCACTTCACATTACATAATTATCTGGCTAGGGAGTGGGTGTAAGTGTTGGAAGAGATTTTTTTTATTTTTGAAAAAGCAAAGCATTCAAGATCAGCTTTGAAAGAAATGCATGGGGTTATGGTTTATTATTATTCTGTCATTTCCTGAATTTCTTTAGCTGCATTCTTTTCCTCTGAAGAAATTTCCACTTTATACATTTCACCATTAATTTCAACATAATCTCCAGAAGTAAGATTTAGAAGTTGGTCTGGAGTTAGTTGAATACTCTGTCCTGATTGTTCAGCAACTTCCTCAGTTTTAGCTTGCAAATCACTTTCATCTATTAATAAATCTGGCTGGTCTTCTATATTGATATCTTGAACTGGTTCCTCTATAACATTATCAACTATGGTCTCTACCAGACCAGCTTGTTCAGCTAGAGCCTGTAAACCTTCTATAGCCTCAGCAGCTTCATGTTCATTAACATTAGATGTATTACTGTCTGATACAGTATTAGAAGTTACAGTGACTGGTCCTGTAGATACGGTATTAGACATTGGATTACTAACTACCATTGCTATTTCATCTAATGATATAATATTATTGATACCAAGTGATTCTGTGACTATTTCAACTTCACCAGATGCACTTTTAGATTGTTCCTGAACTTCTACGCGGGTGGTTGTAGCATCAGCCATATAGCAATTGGCTGTTCCATCTTGTTTCAACACTATTTCTATATGATGTTTTTTCTTCATGTGTTGGAATAAATTTCTACGTCTTGGGTTCATATATCGACATAAAACACATGAATATACATGAGAAGGAGGACTTTGATCTTGGGCATTATGTTTTCTCATATGAACTAATAAATTCTTTTTATTATTTGTCCTGAAGTCACAAACTACACAAGTGAATTCTTCCTCACTATTTGGCATAACACCTTTATGTTGGGCATGTAAATGTTTATATAAATTGATCAATTTAGAAAATTTCATTGTACAATGATTACAAGCAAATATTTTCTCTTCGCTGGAATAATCAGCTTTTTCTGAGGAGTCACTAATAACTACTTCTTGTGGTGGATCAACTGTGATAACTGGTGGGGGATTTTGTTTGCGATTTGTTCTCTCTATTTCGACTTGATGTTGAGATTTCATGTGACGTAAGACATGTTCTTTCTGTGAGCCGCGATATTCACATAAACCACATTGATATGGTTTCTCTTTAGTATGAATAAACATATGTCTTCTTAATCTACTTTCGCAGTCAGTCACAAAACTACAATTTTCACAGAAAAACTTCAATTCAGGACCTTTTTTATGGAATTTCTGATGTTGTTTTAAGTCTTTTTTACTGACAGTCACCAATCCACACTCATCACACATATGTGCACTCAACGAATCCACAGGCATGTGTTTCCTGCGAATGTGAATTCTTAGATCTGGATTTTCATTGGCACATAAATATGGACAAATAGGACAACTCACTGTTTTCTCCTGAAAATACAAAAAATAACACAAATTAAAACTAATTATGCAAGGTGTGAAAAAATCAATTCATTATCACTATGGAAACCTTATTTTGTCCAGGACAGTGATTTGAATCTGAGGTAAATAACTTTTTTAACAAGGTATTACGAATGTCAGACAAAACTTTTGAATCTTTTGTATATAACTTACATACAATCAATCTTTTCTGGACAAAATTGATACAATATTTTGATAGAAAATGAGAAAGTAACAAACCTGATGTTTATATTTGAGATGTCTTTCTAAATGTATTTTCTGACGAAAGTTCAACATACAAATAGCACATTGAAATTCCCTGGTATCTGAATGTATAGCTAAATGTCTCTTTAAATTACTACTAGTAGCAGCTCTATAGGAACACTGGGTACACTTGTGATTTCTTAAAGCTAAAATATACAACACATATTATATTAAAATCTTTCAATTCCATAATCATTTCTTTAGAGTTTCATTACTTTACTATAATGAGGAATGAAATAGGAGAAATACATTTATCACCTAATTTTAAGAATACAACAGTTACATACTAGTGCCATGATCATTATGGTACCTTTACCAATATCTTTTTTTCTATATTGAAAATTTGACAACAGTCTATTGGTATGCATATAGGGTAATACATCTAAAATAGTTCTTTAGTTTTGTACAAATAATGTAATTTTCAGTAAATGTAAATGATGGAAAACAATAAGGAAGTGTAGGAGTCACTTAATGTTAATAGCTTTTAAGTTTAGGAGAAAAAAAAAACAGCTCCCACATTGCCTATCAAATTACTGTCAAATATCAAGAAATTTATTCAAAATGAATTCATAGTGTTAGAAATATTAAGAGTATGAGTAGAACAAGTTATAATAATAATGAAATTACCATTTTTGTCAAGATGTATTAAATGACACGTTTATTCAATGTCATGTTGAATGTTATAGTTTTTATTGACCAATATTTCAAATCATATTCAAATCAGTTTGCTGTTATGGTTCAAGCGATCCTTTTCTTCCTTTCAAATATATATTTAATTATTGCCATCAGTTTAATATCTTTCCTGTTTGAAGTTATGAAATGAAATGAAATGAATGTTTTATGTCCTACTTTTCTGCACCATGTGGGCTAATGAAGACGAGGAACGCCATGCAGGTTGAAATGAGGGAAATTTTGCCAGGACAGCGGCATTAGCCTGCTCTTTTTTTATTTCCAACTGTCGAGGGATCTTTAACGTGCATTTGAAGTCATTGAGAGATGATACCAAAGCAGTAATCTTTTCAATATGATGCATAAAAGTGATATATTAAATACAGACAGTACAATAAATTATACACGGTAATCTACTAATTAATCATAGTAAATTAATATCAATATCAATATTTCATTTCATATCTTACAAATGATTTTGATTGAGCAGAGAGGATTAAAACTTTGATTGGTACGCAGAGAATACATGGCAACTTTGTTATAAAATGGACTACACTACACCATTATCTTCACTGATAACATGACCCTGTTAATAATGTATAGCTTATTTATGAGCTCACTCATCTCAGAACTGAAGAACTTTATCTCTGATGATGTATTTGTCATCCTTCTAAAAGATCCTGACCTTTCAACCTTTCTTGGATATTCGAATAAAGAAATCGGATCAAATAATCAAATAAATGAAATGAGATGAATGGAGTTTTATGTCCTATTCTTCTGCACCAAAGGACCAAACAGTCAAACCAGAGAAAACTGCTTGAAATGACAAGGGAGGGCACCAACCAAGTGGGTGACAGAAAACGTTGTGTTACTACATCAATCTTATTCACAAATCATCATTAAAAAAAAGTAAACAAACTAAGTGTGGGCTAAAAAAGAAAAGTTGAACACTTTGACATAAACATGATACAGATTAAGTTGGTATCTATTTGCATAACACCCTGAGACATAATTAAAACACTCAGGTATGCTCTAAGGAAAAAAGATTCCATAAGAACATTACAAGTATCATGAATATTAAAGGTTAACTGTCAAATTTAATCAGTAAAAAATCCCATCAAACACTCAAAAAAAAAAATGAAAATATCAATATGATTTCAATACAAATTAGAGCTTTTAAAAAAATATGTTGGACAAGCGACTAGCATTCCTGAGAAATAGGTCTATATCATATGTATATTGACAATAAAACCCAAATTGCTGTGGGTGAGCTCTTCATGCCATAAGATTTTTAGTGAGGTCTAGAACTAGAAAATTGGGTCGAATGATTTCAGACAGTTCGCCTTTAAAGGGCTAATGATTAATCATGACAAGTCTTCAATCCCCCACACTGATACTAATCAAATTACCAACAAATTGAAGAGATCAGAATTTGACAGTAATGTGAGACTAGCCAGATGAAAATGGAAATAATAACTAGTGAAATGAAAATGAAATGACATAGTAACATAGATGGACAGACAAAATGTCTGAAATAGACAAATTGAAAACTTTGGGTCGCATGGTTCTGAGTTTTTTTATTGCGTAGTCCCTTCCAGTGACCTTTTTTAACAGACTGACTGTAAAAGTATCCAGTCACTAGAACAAGACAAAAACTTCAGACCCTATGAAGATTGTGAACAATAAATTAGATCCTTCTGCTTTTAACATATGGAATTTAAAATTACCCCAATTTTATGCCCTAATCAGATAAGATGCAGTAAAGTAGGATAAAATATTCCACTTCATTTCATACTTTTCAGTTATTCATCATCAAAATATAAGCTCCTTCATAATAACAACTTTGATTGGGAATTCAGCAGATATTGTCAGATATTGTCCTTTAAATCATTTTGTTTTTCCACCTGAGGACATATTTCACTTTTTGCTTATTAATTTAACTGAGGATAAAGGAAATTAAAATTTTTCTCAGTCATAGTACTTCTCACATAAACCTAATAGTCAAAAATACTTTTTAGACTAATTCTATATTTTCATTGGTTGCATGGTTCTTTTTAGTTTCCAAAAAGTACAAAAAAAATTATTTGGTTCAATATTCACTTGAATGTAAAAATTTGTGACATATATCACTGAGTATAGTTTGACAGAGTAGCAATGGCTGTATCAATATGGAGATGAATACCAATATCAATCAGTTCAGTGGACCTTTCTTCCTGTACACTTAAGACTTGACTACTTCACAACCAACCTCTAGTTGCATGGGGATTGTGAATCATGTATCTACATATGTCATGATGTAAGGTGTCTATGATGAATTTCACTCTTGTTTCCACAAATATTCTTGTTTGCTTATACTGAATGTTAAGACAGGACCTTGACACTTTGGTGTATTGGACCTAAAAATATTCTGACCCATGTAAAATAAATAGTTTATTAACTTTATCTTTATATAGCCAAACCTCCAATACACCATGATAAATAACAGTTTCTCATTCTTAATTCTCACAGGAAATTTGACCTTAGTTTTATATCAGAATTTCAACACTTTAATAGAATTAGCATGTCAATATTTGCCACACCTCACCCACTTACTGAAAAGAAATGTGCCCAATCTGCTTTCTTTAAGTGTCTGATAAATAAAATAATTAACAGTGATTTCAACATACCTATATGTTTTGTTTTATGTTTATACCAATTTGCTTTTTTATGTGTAGCATAGCTACATAGTTTACACTGATATCTACCATCTTCATCACAACCATCACTCTACAATATCAACAATATACATACATACATACATACACTTACATACACTGGCAAAATATCAATGAGGAGAGGGAATTTCCACAATGTGTATTGAACATTTTCAAAATTTCTCATCTTTAAATTTTACAGACATTCCTGTTATTTTTTGGAGATTGTAAACAATGTCTTAACTTACATCAGAATGCTTTTCATTAACATCTTTTCTAACAACTTGTACACCATCAGGAAGTTCAACTAAAATCAATTCCTCGGTTTGTGTTCTCTGGTTTTCTTGGCCCATACTAGATCTATTATGTATAGTTTTATATACATTATCATGTGTACTTGAAGTGATAAAACCAGCAGGATGAGGTACTCCATCTTCTATCGTTTCTTCCCTGGGTTCAACCTTTATCTCCTGCACATTACAATATTTCATATCGACTTGGATGCTGCCATCTTTACTTTTTGTAGTCTGAGTCTCTACTGCAGTAGCTTCTGATAATGAGTTTGGCATTGATTCTATAGTGATGGTCGCTTGAGGACTTGCTTCTGACATAATAACTTCTCCTTTAGAATTCAATTTCAGAATTTCAGCTTCTGACATAATAACTTCTCCTTTAGAGTTCACTTTCAGAATTTCAGACTTCTTCTTAGGTACTATTACTTCTAAAGGAGGGTTCTTGCTTGATGTAATACTCTCAGATTTGTTCTGATGGCTGTAACTGATTGGCGTATATGAATCTGGTAATTTCAACACCACATTTCTTAAATTGGTTTCATCATCGTCTGGTACATTTAAATTGACACAAACAGTTCTCTCTTCATTTCCTCTTACTATCTTACCTATTAATATAACCAATATTGATTATTAACATGTATTATTCATTTAAATAGATAATCTTATATTATCATTATATTATATATTATTGCGTTCATTAAAATCGTTACTCAAGGCATTAATTTCCTTTATTTACACCCCTGGTTATGCAGTGCACGAGCTTCATTCACTTTGACCACTAGGCTCCCCCATAGAAGTTACCAAGTCAGATTGCTAATCAGAATGATGAATAGAGAAGCCATTATTTCTATTACAATATCAGGAAAATGCAAGAGCACTTAAGTCTCTAATATTAATATTACCTGGTCTATTTAAGGTTGGAGATTCAGATAAGGACATATTATTTGGTAAAACTACTTGTATATCACTATCTTCTAGTTCATCTTCCTTTCTTCCCTCCTCTTCTACATATTCTACATTATCCTCTTGTTCTGGGTTCAGCAAAGCCAGTGATTCTTTGATTAATGTTCCTGTACCCTCTTTTTCTTGTTCCTTTACTGAAAAAGACAAATAAAGCATGTAAGTGGTTTTAAAAAATGTTCTCTGAATTTTTCATAGCATCAATTTGCACCAAATTTTCAAAATGATGACGGATTATCAAAATTGCAAACTAAGCATGTCATGTCAATATTGTGAAGGCCCTTAGATATTATTAGCAATTATTATCAAAATTATCAGAGATCTTTCTCACATTCCATCAAAATTATCAGAAACTTATTCAATGTTAGTATGTCTACAATTATAATTTATGTCATGATGGAACCCCAGACATTAACATTGGCCAAGCTATTTACGGCAACATAGGTTCATTTGACAATGTGATTTAAAAAGTAATGTGAAATATTTACCTGGTTTATTTGGGGTGTGTGCAACAGAATCAGTTTCTATGGTGACAATAGATTCTACTTCTATAACTTGATTGTCAGCAGATTTTGTAGCAGACTGACTACTTGCTGGAGTGGAGGCTTTGGAAGGATATACAATATATGCAGTTGTATTCTTTTCTTTATCAACAGAATGGATCTTATGAATTGGTCTTGTATATCTTCAAAAGTATAAAAAAAAAATTCAGAAAAATAAAAAAACATTTGACACGATAATGTATTAAAATGAAAGTCACAATAGTCATAAGCCTACAAATTATTTAATTTTCTAAAAGATAAAATTTTCAGCTTATCTGAGTGAGAGATCTTCTTAGTAATAAAATTTGTAGTCAGCTCTGCCAAGAATGAGTGACAATGTTTTTTTTTAGTGAGGCATCTGAATTAGATTCTTAAAATAGTTATGGATAGTTAAAAAACTATATCAGACACTAACATTAACTACAGTTAACAACTGTTCAGTGTTAAAAGTGCTTAAAATTTCTTGTAAAGACAAGTGTCAGTGGTGAAATTGACTTACCGAACAATACTCTGTGAACCAGAACCAGGTTTAGCAACTTTTGGAAACCCTATAGATTTATTGCTATTGGCATCATTGGTATGATCATTCTTAACAATATTAGTAATGGTAGGGGTTTTAATCTGTGACATTGGTATAACAGTTTCTGTGTATTCATATTTATTTTTAAACAATGATACACGGTTGTATACGGTGGGTTTATCTTTAGGTTTATATGTAGTTATCTCTTTCACATTGACATTGTTTAATGGTGGTTTCTGGATAGCAATTGGTTTAGCAGGATGACTTGTGTCCTTGTTAGTTACTTTTACGCTACTGACTTCATTGGTTTTTACTGTACTTTCACTGTTATTATTTTGACCCAGAGGTTTTGTTTGAAGTGGTGCTGTTTGATGAATAACTTGCTTTGGTGGTTGAGTCACTACTTTAAGAGGCACTAAAATCAAAGAAAATCTTACATTAATAAGGTCTGATAATTATATTTCCATGTGAATTTTGATATGAATCTGTGTTAATGCAACAGTGACAATTCCTGTTAATGCAACTTCAAAACATTCCATCTGTATAATTTAATGCCATTTAAGCTAGACTGATACACAAGTAGAATTCAAGAGCATATCTTGATCAGCAACTTCTTTATACCTAAAGAATATTTCAATAATTGAAAATTTCAACAGTTCCTGCACTTTTATTCCACTATTAATGGGAAATAACTCCAATTATTCTGAAAATTTTACAGATATAACGAAATAAACAGGAAAGAAACTAAAGTACCTGTCACTTGCTCTTTAAGTTTTACTGGAGTCTTAATCAAATTTTCAGTGTGTATGGCTTTTACCCTTTTGTCCTCTACTTCATTATCTTGAAATTTTTTGTTGGGTATTAACCCTCGACTACTACGTCTTGGTGTCTGAGGTTCAGCAACTGTTTTCCTTTTCTCTGTACCTTGCACAGCCTTGTTACTTATTTTACTTGGCTCATCTACAGTTATCCTTTCCTCTGAAAAATATGGAATCAAATATTCATAGGATTAGATAATGCATCTGTTTCAAAGAAAAAGGCAAATTCTAAGTTGACCACAGTTAAACAAAGACATGCCAGATGTTGGATTTTCATTTAGAAAAGTTGAGCTTAATAGCTAAGATAGCAAATATTTTGACAATCAAGTAATAAAATATAAGAAATACCTTCATTATCACATGTTTTTGACTTCTTGTTCACTGACTCTGATCTGACATGAACACTTCCTATCGATGGAACAATCTTTTCTGATCTTTTTCTTTTAGATGAACCTGTAATATTTGATTAGAATCCCATAGTAAGTCAGTAATCATAGTCTAAATTGATCTTCTTAGCTTTAGTCACATTTCACTTCATTTACAAAGTAATCAACTGTACTGGACATTAATACTTTTTCGTGACCACATAATCAAGTTTTTTTAATTACAAAAACATGTCTTTCAAACTTGAAATTAACTCTTTAATGAACATTTTTAATTTTATTAATCGTTATCAAAAATCAAAGACAGATTCTGTAAATTGTAATTTAAAAGAAATTAAAAGTGTCTTGAAAAGCAACTCAACATTTCCATGATCCACTCTCTACATGGTCTGATTATTGAACATCTTAAATATCCCAAGACTATTGAGACAGTGTCACTTAAATTAAAATATCTTTTTTTTACTAACCACTTGAGTCCTGTACATCCATATTGATAAGGGGCTCTTCTTTAATGGACAGTTTAACTGCATGTTCATCATCTTTAGCAATCGATACTTGTTTCAAGGATGCTGATCTTCTTGCTCTTGGCATCTGAAAGTTAGTAAAAGATAAAGAAAAAAAAAGACACAAGACTTATGAATATTTCAATAGAAAAGCATTGTAAAAATGCCAATATTCAATTAATTTCAGATTCAATAATTACATATGTGTGTAATTTTCAAAAAGCATTTCTGGATGGGAAGTGTTTAGGCCCTATTTCAGATTGTTTTTATTGTTCAAGAAGAGACTCTTACTTTAGACAAATGGCAGAAAGAAGCTGGTCAAATATCTACGTGTACATGTAGGCCCAGCCTTGCCATGGCCGACTTATCAAACACTGTTGCTTAGGCTGATCACATTTTATTGTGTGATATTGTAATCCCGCATCCTTCTGTGTTCATGGCCATGGAATTGCATTAATAATAATTGTTATTTTTAATACATGACGACAGACCATGTCTCGACCTGTGCCAGTTGGTTGGTTTCTTCATATTCATTATCAGAAACGAGTATTCTATTAGTATTGCTTTCTGCATCTTAGTTTGTACTAAGAACTAGTCAAGCTTATCGGCAGTATCAACAAAATGTGTTTACATTTTGTCCCACATTCTTCCCTTACTTTAGGAAGAGTTCGTTGCTTGAATCTTCTTTGAGGAGGAAGAAAAATCAAAATGGACGACTGAATCCGCCTCCATTGATAAAGATTTCCAATAAAAAACCCATTCGGCCCAACAATACTCCATCGTTTTCGTTATCAAGACGAAGTAAATAATATTTGATGAGCAAATTCAGAGATGGTTTTCAGAATTACCTTCGAAATACTGATTTCTAACAAAGACGCTTCGATTACAAATGGGTAGTCGCCATGTTACATTCCAGCTGCCCGATTAAAAGGAGTATCAATATATCAATCGCCATTGGTTGTAATTATCACGTGGTCTGTTGAAGCGGGAAATTACATATATTTTCACAATTTCGAACGATGCCACATTTCAAGCAGAAAGTTACGTCTAGGCATATAGTGCTGACTCTCCGGGTTTTTAATTTGTAAATAAGTTTTCACACGGGCGTGTATTATTGTAATTTTATCCATTTTTACCAAACACCCCCGATGTCTCTCCGGTGTTATTTATCAATTTATGTATTTGTCATTATTATCATGTACCAAATATCTTGAATAACATATCATTATTATAGATCCACAAAGAATAAGCCATTGCCAATGGATTCCCATTTGTAAAATATTGTGTTATCTAGTACGGTAGCCTACATCAACAGAGTATTATATTATACAGCCATTATTTGTAGCATGTGGCACTAACTAAAGTCTTGTGATGAATGATACAAATGCAGTAAACCACCATAAAAAATGTATCCCCTTAATCACTAAGATGCCATGCAACAGCTTATGCTGGCCCTGTAGTGTATTATGCCGGATAAATTGACTTAGATCATGGGTATAGCCCCAAGTATTTAGCCAATATAAATGGCCTATGCTCAAAAGGCCACAGTCACAAATTAATATGAGGACCAATTTTTCCATTGGTCTATTCAAATGGAGCAAGTTCACAATGTCTAGCTAGGGAAGATAAGTACCGTAGGCTAATACACTTAGTGAATATTACAGACCAGTATTACAAAACTCCAAGTGCTCCAATTTAATTACCAGAATTGCGCTAAGAAAAAGAGCATTTCTATATTTAATGTGGTTTGTACATGAGTAGCTCTTCCTTAATGAAGTGAAAGGAATATAATTCAAATAACAGAATGAAATAGCACTTTTATTATCATGAAAGACATGTTAACAGTTTAACAAGGGTTTTAGACATTACATGAACAAAATAGAACAATTTATAGTCTTTATAGACTGAAATGGCTTGATGAATGAAATAAAATTGAAAAATATGAACTAATTAACAACAAATTTTACTTCTTTATTCAGTAATTATCATGGTTAAAGTTGAATTTCAGAATATCAAACATTTGACACATTTTACACAATGCATGAAATCATTATGAATATCTTACTAAATTGCTGTATCAAACTATATAGAATCATGCCTGTAGCTAGCCCAGGGCCTCAGTGATTATTTTTTGAAGCCCCCCCATCTAGCTACGGGCCGGCATAGAATTCTGTGACTAGATTAGTTCATATGATAATGAGTACAATTGATTAAGTACAGGAAATATGATTGAGAGTTACAAAGTCTTAGTGACCTAAATAAGCCTTATAGGCCTACTAAAGAGGTTTTCACAATAGGAGAAACCAGCGTTGCAATGATATGCTAAAAATAGAACACATGCATGACCAGAGTAAGACAATTTGTAGGACAAACCACTCTTACAACTGTTCAAGATGTGCATCATGTCATGCAAACCATCTCTATGACATCATGGTCAATCTCTCAGATATAACAAACATGGAAATGATCGAAAAAGCAATAGGCCTACTTTTGTCATTGTCTTGCAAAGACATCTAAGCACAAACATTCACTGTAAAAGCAAGATATAAACCTGTACTAGAAAAATGTAATCATCTGTAGTTAAACTACCTCAAAGTCGGAAATTCAGTTTGTATTTATATTTTAATCTATAAATATTCTATAAATCCTTATAGATGTGGTTGCCAACCAGGAAATAAACGACAAAGCTTTTTAGGATCTCTTGCCTCTTCAATCAGAAGATTAACTTGACCTGATATACTCAATTGAACACTGTCCTCTATACCCTGTAGCTTCTGTTGTAATCTTAATAACACTCTCTCAGCCAATTTATTTACTTGTTCTTGACTGGCAGCTGAAAAAAAAAGGTTTATTAGAAATGAAATGAGTTGGAAGTTAACGGTATATCAGGGTAACACATGTATGAAACACCATTCATCTTATTGTAATAGTGATCTAAACAAAAATATTTGAAATAACAATAGTTAATATTTGTATGAACATATGACTAGGTAATCCAGTAATATTTTATTTAATGTGGTACAATATAGTAGTTTCCCTTGGGAGGGCAATTGCATTGGCCTGTGATTAGAGTGTTTAAATTTGATTGAGTGTAAGCAGTCATAGAAAACTAACACTCCACAATAACAATAGATCTAGAAGAATAGATACCACCGTCTGGGTGATTTTGCTATTCACACACACAATCCAAGGGACTTTTTTCTAAATAAAGCATCGATTGGTATTCAAAGCATCAAAACAGAAATTTGTTATACAAATAAACATTACCAGATCTATCATCAGTATTAGTGATATCATTCATATCATTATTGGTCACATCTAAATCTTCAACATCGCGATTCTGTCGTAGTTGTAGAGCATGAGCTTTCTGTGGTGATAGAGTCCATACATACAGTGGATCATACAGTAATACTTGTACTATAGTCATTAACGATTCTTGGTTGGTATGCATAACTTCCATTGTCTTCTCACAGCACCTTTAAAATTTGAAGAAATTGTGTAAATTATCCTATTGAGCAACATTGGCCTACATCATATAAAAGAAATAAGTATACAGCATGCCTCTTAAGCTTTCTTTGACATTTGAGGGTACACCCCATGATTTTACTTCTGGTGTAGAAAGCACAATTTATGATATACATGTATACAGACTGAGCAGCTAACGAAATGCCTTTCACAAAAACGGGGGCATTAGCTGGATGGTGAACCTTTCTTTTTCAAACTATCAAGCACATACAACAATGACAGCTATGTGTGTTTGTTCAGAAAATGGCATGAATGTGTCTAAATTATCACAATTAAAAGAAAATTCTACAGATTTGATTACCTTCTGAAGACACCCTCAACACCTGTTGGTCCCATACCATCAACAATATCTCGTGTTAGTCTGAATGATACAGTTTCAGGGGTAGGTAATATTTTACCCTGTTCAAAAGCAATACCTGGAAGAACAACATGATGTTCCTTATCTAAAATTCTTATAAAAGCTGGAGTATCGCTGCAAGTCAGACCTTTGCTTACAAGAGTCCTATTGTATGTAATATCTTAGTGTGATATATTGTAATACTGAATTGTGGTCTTATGATATTAAGAGTTATCACCCTTGATAGATAGATGGAGAGCCTGTTCTTTGATCTGAGTCCTGCAGAGATCACAACCCTAAAGGTCAAAGGTATGATTCTGGGAAAGAGAAAGTTCATTTGCATTTTAGAATTAGTTTTCACTTAGGGAGTCAGAGACCGTTAAACAACAGTCTGTACAATACATCAACACAGATGTGCCATTTACGACAGGCTGTGTGCAGCATTTTCCACATGTTTTATGAAGAACTATCAACTGCAAATAATGGGAACTTTAAGGTGTAGAACATTCTATTTGACAGCTGTTTTATTTCATAGATACAGACACTGTGCTCACTTGCAGGTTGCAGCATAATCAAATCATTATCCCAATACAATTGTGATTCAATACTAAACTTACAACTTACCTAAATCAATATGAACTAATTCTGCAGTATTACAATCGACTAGTATATTTTGAACATGTCTGTCACCCAGTCCCAGAATATAACCAACTGAAATATCATAGTGATAAACATTAGAAAACTGTTACTATATATATAAAGTATTTAACAATGCATACATGCACCATACAAAGTCTGTAAACAGCTGTTAAACGAAGATGCTTAAAAGATTTCTTGCTAAGATAGGTATTAAATACAAAGACATTAAATTTATTGTGTTGAAATGAGGTTATAGCTATTCCAGAACAAAATATATTACTAACCAATAGAATTAGTAGCCACACTTCTAGTATAAGCTAGTCTTCTCTCAAACCATAAAGCTGGTTGGAAGAATTTCTCCATGAAGAAGTGACGAAAAACTGGTTTAAATTTCGCACAAACATCTTTATATGTTTTATATTTCTTTCTTACATCAGCAGAATCATGGACAGCCTAGTCAATAGAAAATATTAATAATACTGGCCCTTAATCTACAAATATTAAGATATACCCAATAAAGACTGGATGATGTGTGCCAGTCATTTACTTGAGATCTCTTAATATTCTAATGAACTCTTAAAAACTCCATAAAATCCTACTTACTGCTAATTTTCTGCGAGCATCAATAGGAACTAAATCTTGAGGTCTGTAACGTTGATGAGCCCCTTTGTTAGATGAATTACCTATTAAATAATCACCTAGTGGTTGTGTACCTTCACACCATTCTAATAATCCACTACGCTGTGATAGAGGTATAACCTGTTAAAATTTTAAAAGTGGGGATTTACTCATAGCTATTAGTGAAAGGTTTGAAACACTTTCCCTTGCATCAGAAGTGTTCTGAACTTGATGAGGATTAAAACCCACAACTTATCACCTATACACAAAATAAAAAAGACCTGAGAGATGAAAATATGCAAATACATTTGAAGGACAAGCTGGTTGATAATCGTACAATTTCAGGTTCTTAGGATATAAAATAAAACGAATAAAGGTTTACCTTATATTGTCTGATATGTAGGTTACGTTTTCTTGTTTCAGAATCTTTCCGTAGTAAATTATTCACCATACCAAATACTTGTTGCATCACAGCATCTTGTCGTAGATCATCCTTTCCCTGATAAAAAAAATTCAATTTCAAGAATCACACTGAATTCATATCTAGTCTCTAAGATCAAAACAAAAGGATTCACAATCATATTTACATATCCTACTACAATGCATATAGGCCTCATAGACATTATTTATCAAAGTTGGAGAAAGAGCTTAAAATGGAATACATGTAGTATTTTCTTTTTCTACTTTTCTGCACCTGATAAGACTATGTAAAGACATGTAACAAGTTGAAGATTTTAACCTTGACTAACTGTCTTCGACCTATACCATCAGAACCAGTACAAGTTATAATTTTAGGTAGATTGATACCACCAGCTAGTTTGTAATTCTTCTCAAAACCTTGTACATAAACAATATCATCATAATCACAGCTACCATTAACCTACAACATAATATATCAACAAAAAGTTCACAAATCGATCTAAAGGAGCAATCTACAGATTTTACTGAACAAAAAAGAACAATATCGAAAGAAAGTGAGAGTCATACATCTGTACAGGAACAGAAATCTCAAGACAGGCCTTGAAAAATCTAGATATAGTAAGATTACACATGTATAGTGAGAGTTGATAAAAGAAATAATGAAATTCACAAAATACACCTACTTTGGTGTCAATAGTAGGAAAAGCTACATTAGTTAGATTCTTCATCTTTGTTATAGATAAATTGTCCGGTAAATTGATGGCTCCTAGAGAAGAGAATAAATTATATAACATTATAAATTATCAAGTCTGTTCAAGGTTTTTCAAAAGTCTTTTAGACTGTAACTGGGGTTTGTTTTGACCACTAGTGGAGCGACTTTCGATTATTACTATTATTTATAATAGAAACCCATCTGGAATTTACTTCAATCTCCAAACAGAATTTTAAAGTTGACAAGAAATTTTGACTTTTTTCATGATATGAGCAACATGACCTATACTTGCATGTTGTTTAGTGAGTCTTTTAGCCTAAATAAACCTCTAAGATTCCTGCTATTATACTGATATGCATTGACTGAATCAACTTGGTCTATTCAACACTAAGCTAACTATGTTAATACATACTTGATTCTTTTCTATGTTGTTCAACATTAGTATTAGCTAGTTCGATATAAGCATCTGATAGTTTCTCTAGATCCAGTATAATATTCTTGATTTTATCAACTAATTTTAATCTAGTTATCATGTTTTTAGCAGCTTGTACTCTATCCTGAAAAATATGAGGCTATAATGTCATCTTCCATCACAGGTGTATGATTCGTTTTCATAACTTCATAGGCTACAATTAAATCTATTATGCATTGATTACGATAGTTTTACTGCCATTGAATATTTACTATATGTCTCCCAATAACAAATAAATTGAGTAGAGACATCTTTCAATCTGCAATAATCACTCACTTATTGAAGCATGATTTATTGTATATATATCTACTAAGTCACTCTGATGCAAAATTGCAAATCTTGTTATATTAATAGGAATCTTATAGAAAAACTGTTTGCTATTAACACTTACCTCTTCTTTCGTACCAGTATCAGATGATTTACCATTACTGGACCGTTTACTAGATTTAGCTTGTTGAATATAATCCATATCTTTATTAGCATTAGCTAGAGCTAAGATTATAGATAGAGCATGGTGTGGGTGATCTATAGCTGTTCTTTCTAATATCTGTAATTAGTTATATATTCCAGTTTTATTGTACACTTGAAGTTTAAGACATATTCAACATTTAGGAAACAAAAAAGCAAAAATGAGACGACCATTGGCTTTGAAAACCATAAAACAAACAATTTGTACAAATACCAAATACTACTTTTGAATGTACCATGCACAGAAACCCTATAGTATTCTCTATCATTTCGGATATACAGTATCATATGCTGCATAAAAGTGATTTGGGATTGCATTTTCTTTAGATTTTGCTTCATTACACCATTAATGATGTACATGTACCTGATTCAAGACTTTATGGAATAATGATAAACCTTTACTTTCTGATCCCATTCTAGCTGCTAACTGATACATCAATGGTAGAAATTTATAGGATTTAATACTCTCTATATTATCCTAGAAAATAAACCAGAATATATTCACTACTACAGAAGTGATGTGCTTATAACAATCAAAAACAATCTATCATAATCTAACCTATTACAGCAATTTGAATCTATAATGTGAAAAAAAATACCAGCTTTTATAGTATAAATAGATGCAATAAAGTGCTTAAGTACAGTAAAGTATTACTGCACTGTTTCGATTCACTCATAAAATGAAAAAAATACCAAGATTGTGTCACACGTTCAATCTGCAAGGAAGATAGAGAATTGACAAACTAGTAGCGGCTACTCCAGGTAGGAGCACAAGCCTTGACAGGATACTTGTTTTAGTGGAATAGCTGATACTTACAGCTAATAATCCATTAACATCAGTAGAATTACTATCATCAAACCATAATGATATCACACGAAATATTCGCAAATCATATTTATCACCACACTGTAGACATTTGATATAAAACTCTAATGCTTTGATCAGAAACTTGCTTCTATCTTCTTTCATTGATCTTAACTCTTTTTCATCTAATTCAGATTGTTTTTCTAGAATTCTTAAATATCTACTGCAAAAAATAAATTAAAATGCCAGAATTAATAAATAGAATAATAGTAATAATAGATGGCTTGTTTTTTAAATGCTCAGATGCAAAAATATGTAAGCTAACAATAATACATTGCAGCTAGGTTTTTGATCTAACTATATTTGAAGATTGTTTCTCAATGACACTCAAAAATATTCAGCTATGATGGTCATGACTGAAGGAGTGAATATTTACTAAGATATAAATTTCTTACTCTTTATCAGAAGAAACCATTTTATAGTCCTCTACATCTTGTTTTGCTTTCTTCAATAAAGCTTGTTTAGATTCGTACGTACTAGATTTCATATAGTTCACTATATTCTGATACTGAGTATCAGCAAACCTAGCTAATGATAAATACGCCTCTAGACAGGTTGTTTTATCATCATTTTCATGTAATATTTGTACAGTCTGAAATAAGAGACCAAATAACATATTTCATTAGCAATGTTCTTTACTGTTGTTGTCTGAGAAAAGCCAGAGTCTGAACAAAACCATCTTTGTCAAGTTGAAATTTGTATCCAATCAAAATCATGAATCTAATTTAGGCTTGGTGGACTTTCCCTATTCTGTATTTGGGTACATGCTTAAATTGACTTGACCTCTTGTGTGTGATAAATATAATAATCTTTCCTGGGTAATGATATGCACCAATGAAAAGAAAGATATGTTATTGTTATTCAATAATAAATAGTAATACCCTTTCTAAATAGTTTTCCATAATAACAGTAGGATTCTCTGATCTAGTCTCTGCTAACCAGTTACCATACGTTCCTAACGCTTGTGGTAATAGTGTAACTGCTGTTTCATTGACATCTTGTAGCTAGAATAGAAAATAAACTCGAGACTTGCGTTCTTGATTTCTTGTTATATTTTGATACAAGGAATGTGGACTATGATTTTGATTTGTTGCCCTTAAAGTCATATGGTATGCTTTTACCAAGTAAAGACAACCGATAGAAATGGGAAAATTTAGCATAATAAATGTTATAATTCATAGCAACTGTTCTGTTGGATATGGTGATTAAAATGTTTACATGTAATTAAAACAATAATTAAAAACATCAACCTACCCTTTCGAGTCTACTAAGAAGTGTCTTGATGAGATTTTTAGCTATGTTTATTTCTGATCTAGCCCAGTATAGCTTCGCCTCTTCCATTTGTGTTAACAATATAAAACTGAGATTATTGTCTAGTTTATGTAGATCATAGATAGCTCTTTCTGATATCTAATTAAAAACATAAAAACATACAACACAATTAATTAAGCTGCTAATATTTAAAGTCCATACCCAAAATGCCTGATACAGTAGGAATTAAAGAAAAACTGAGAAATTGTCCCATATAAACTTATGATTGGATCTAGAGTAAGACAAATAATCAGAAGATCCACCATTTTTGCAATTGTAACGTAAAATAGAATCATTCCAATAAGAATTTTCAGTCTTCTACACCAACCATGACAATAGATAAGGCTACGTTATAACTTACCTGAAACCTGCTAGCCTGTCGAGCTTGTTTAGAAAGGTGAAGTAAACTGTGAAATAAGTTGTCTTGGAGATCATCATTATTCAGTGTTTTAATAATGGCTGATTGTAGAATTAATATAGGTTCTATATAGTGGAAATCTGGGGCAAGTATTTCATTATTCCATTGGTAAAATAAATTGGATAGATCACCATTGCTATGTAAAAAGAAACACACTAAGTTAGTGACTGAACGGTATATTGTAAATTGTTTTCAATATATATCGCCATATTGGATAACTCATTATTAGCCAAAACTGTCAAAGCAGTATGTCAACTATGATGATATACCCAAAATTTGGTCTATTTTAAAAAACATTATTTTCTAAAAAAGTAAACTTATGTGACATAAGATTAAAAGTGAAAAAGTTATGAAAAAGTATGTTAAACCTACCTTGATAATATTTGGTTGAATTGATCGAGTTGATGTAAACAGTTTAATTGTGATAATACAGGATAGACATTCTGACAACAATTACCATATAGTTGAACAGCGTTCACAATTTCTTCTCTATAATTATAATCATATTGGATTGTAAAGAGCTTTCATTCAAGTTTCTTACACAATGTGCAATGTTTAAATTCCTGTAGGTTTACGAAACCTCTTAACAATTGGTATAAATTACTTAAAATCAAGAGAGATGCAATCTATAATTTGTAAGAATTAGAATATATATGTAGAATTCATGCCCTCGTTCTTTTATCAAAATTCATTCAATGTAATGCATATTTCTTTATTAAACTATAACGCTATAAAGACAACTTGATTTAAGATTAAACAATATATACTCACCTGACTGAAGTTGTAGCTTTCTCTATCAACATAGTCTGATCATTTTTAACAGCTTCTAAACAACTATAGATACCTTGATGAAAACCAACTCCTTTCTCAAATCTATTGAAACATGTGAAAATTTAGTAAGAAAAAAAAAAATCAATAGAATTGGGCATCCCATCGGTATGGAGGACAAAATGCAAAAGCGATAGAAACCCGACAACATCGGTAGATTACACATGTATGCTGATAAGGCTTGATAAAGATCATCAGCATACCTCATTGGTGCTTCCAAATTCCACTGTCCAGTTTTCCATGCAGCTTCATATTGTAACTCTTCAATTTGTGGAGTTAGTATAGCTCCCTTTGCTACATTTCCTTGTAAACAGGAATTCAAAAGATGACTTGCGCCAAACTCTTGTACTGACTGGAAATCACAAAATAGTTTAGATTAAAATATTGTTAAATTCAGATAGATTTATTTAACACGAATTCAGCTTATCATGACTTTGAGAAATTTATTCCTTTTAAGCTTCCATTAGACTCAAGATTGTAAGTGGGTTAAAGAAGTTATTCTTCCTTTCAAACGCATGTGATCCATACTAATTTAAATCTGGCAGGTATGATCTAATTGTTAATCAAAGAAACTTACTTGATAAAAGCCAAACTGTTGAGAATGGAGATCTGTTTCTATATCATATGTTACTACTGCTTTATCCCAACGGTTTTCATGCATGTATGTTTTGATTCTGTCAAAAATAAAGAAATTAATCAGTTGATACATCAAAGTAACATTTAAGTCAGAATTTCCAAACATTCATTTCGAAAGTCTGAATAGCACTATAGTTTCATGTTCTACTTCTGAAGGCAGAGAGGCTATTAAGTATCTTGTTCAAAATATTTGCATATGGCAAAATACCAGCACAAATCAAAATGAGAATGCAACAGTCATGTGCCAATAGCCGAGAAAAGAGGTAGGTAGGGAGATGACAAGTTAACGTTTGCTTCCAGCGGATGCTGATATCGCAAACTACTACAGAAAAGATTTGTGTCTCAACTTAAATTCCTATAAATATGACACTACAACCAACCGACAGATACACTGTGGTGTGACAGGTGGTTATTCTTATGCATGGCTTCTTAATACAGTAAGAAAATAAGAATTACTACCTGGAAGTTGATTCAGCTAGCTGACCAGCACCACAACCATAAATACCATCAGGATCACCAATACATCTGTATGTCTCTAACATTAATTCTTGTAATATATTATCATCAATATTACTCACGAAATCCTGACTGTTTCCTTGTGACTGGGAATTTCTACCAGGCATCTCTTCTCTATAACAATAAACAACATTGATCAACTCAAACAGGATTATAGATTTTTAGTACCGGGATATAAAACTCATATCCCAAAACTTCAAAATAGTCATTGTTGTACACAGAATATCTTGTGCAACATTTACATCCAGATAGATACAAAACTATACTTTGCATGTGGGTGGATTCGATTGGAGGGTTCTGAACAGGTTTTGACTGTTTCAATTCTGCCCTCAATCGAACGGTATGGAAGAGGAATATATCACATTCAAAATTTTCACATCTATTTCCTTCTTAAAGAGGTTTAGACAATTTTGAAAAAGATTTAGAAGAAGACTTCACTTACTTGAGAATATCACACCATATTTCACTGTAGAGTAATGACATGAAATGAGAGGAACAATAGTGGGCAGCTACTGATAGATTGAAATAATTCACACTTAACCAGAAATTATTATCCCACGGTGTCTTTACTTGATGTCTGAAATATTATCATATATAAATTGAATATAAATATATCAAATCAACATTTGTATTGAAAAGAAAGGATATTAGCAGGAAAAATATGTCAATTGTTTACTTTGGAACAGGCAGATTTTTTGACTTTTCAGAGGTTGATTAAATTTAATTGGAGGATTGGTTGATACAAATATTTGTTTCAAATACTTTCAATTGGTAATGCAATAGACATTCAAACATCTGCACAGCTAAACAAATTTTAAAAATATGTTTCAATCAGAAAGTAACTTACTCCTGTCTAGGCCTATCTTGTTGTCTCAGATATTGTATTACACTAAGCATAGTTTTAACAGATTTCTTATTTCTACTTATAGAATGAGGTGATCCTGAATAAAAAAAATAAAATATTCCATAAAAAGTTAGCATGTTTAATGTTTGATTTATCATTCAGGAATTATAGATGGTTTTTACTGACAACTATACAGCTAAATAAAACCAACATCTCTCACAAGGTGAATTTAAAGTACAGAAACATCTCAGAAATATGTGATTTTATTATATTTCCCACTAAAGGCAAGAAGGGTTGCAACAAAACTTTACTGCATGCATTGAGCTGTTTTGCGTTTGTTAGTTTGGTTGGTTTGTGATACAATGATATTTTTTTAATGACAAAAAGGAAAGAGAAACACTGTTCTTACCATCTTTATCACTATGTGATTTAAAGAAGGAATCTATTCTAGTAGAGAAGATATCTTTATGTGTCTTATTACCATGTACTAGTATATCATATATTATATAGGGCAATATCAATTCACATAACTCAGGCTGAAATAAAATAATATACATAATCTTGCCTGGAATCATTTTGACAATGATGCCAAAATTATAATTTTAATTTCAGTCACCTATCTAAGATATTAATGTTTTTTTGCCTTTATTTTGACACAAATTTTCAATTTGATTAGGAACATTGCTGAAAGCATTGAGAAATAAACACATTAGTCCACTACCATACATCACTTTTTCAAGTCTATCAAAATCTACAACTTTTAACTTGTTGATATTATATCTGGGTTGTGAAATTAAACAGTTTACCTTTAATAAAGCGATAGGATGTAAGAGATATAGAATATCATCATGTACAGCTTGTGATTGTAATAAATTACAGGTTAATTTAGTTATCCAGCTATCATGATCTACCATTACTGGGGTCCATAATTCTTCTTTATCTATAGTATTACTAAATACATCTCTAGATATAGGTGCTGGGGAAGTTGTTGGTGTCTGAAATAAAAAAAAAATTAATGTTACAGTTACTATTCTTATGCAATTTCATCAAATGCACAAATTTAATCATTAATTTGGGAACCTAAAAAATTAAGAGATTCTATAACTTTTGGACATAAATACAAAATCATTTACCTTATTCTTAGGTTTAAATGGATGTAGATAATGAAATAGATGATCTTTATCTGCTAGTTTAGCTTTATATTCAGTTGAAAAACTTATACCAGTTTTTGTGGCCAGTATATTCTTTAATACATCACTAGTACATTGGACTATGTTGATACTAGAAAAGAATTATTTACAATTAAAGTAAAAGTTAATAATTCAGACAGGTAGGTGTTGATCATAACTATAATCAATTGATCAGTTCAAACAGGAAATGGAAATTGATTTGATAATCGCCAGTCTTAAAATTAGTTTCACAAAAAATAAAGCAAATGAATATCTAGAACTATTAAATTTCAATCAGATTGGAATCTTCAATGAAGAATATACCATAGATAACATCGATAATCTTTAGTTGAATTTGATTTGCATTCTTAGACCAACATTCCACAGAAAATCAAGAAAAACTAAATGTCTTGAGCTGAATTTGAATCAGATGAAGTAACGTACCTGGGATCACATAGATACTGGTCTAACTGATGGAATATATAACAGTATTTCTCACAGTCAGTATCACCATTATAGACCTGTAGAGCTGTACGTAGACTAGGTTGATTGGTATGTTTAGATAATGATAAGACTGAAAGATCAACTGGTCCTATAACACCTAAACATCTAGCTGACTCTATCTTCTCCTCTTTACTTCCATATTGTAACAACGTTAATAACTGTCTTATTAGTCGTAAAAATATATTACTTCTTTTGTCTGAAATAGTGAAAAAAAAATATCAAATGTTTAACATTTCACAGTACAACAGGTTATTTAGGCTGAACAATGCAATACAATTAACATATTCTCTTTAGATTTCAACTAACAAGTGATCTTTCATGTATGCAACTTGTGGCACACACTGTCTATGCCTAAACAACGAGAATTTTTTCCCCATGTCAGCTCCTCAACTCTGCAACACTAACAAGGGGATTCAATATTCTTCATCTCAACCTATGATGAGATACAAACCTATTTCCTTCATGTTCGCATATCTGAATCTGAAACTTTCATGAGCTTGAGTTCCCAAAGCAAAAGGGAGATATCAAATCTTGTAAGCCTAAAACCAATTGACTACTATTAAATAGAATGAAATAGCCTACAGGGTAATATACCTACCAGTAGTAAGGTGAAGTTGTTTTATTAGACCAGTACAATCATTCTTTAATAACTGTTGATATAGATGTTTTAATAACTCTACATAACTACATCTTCTACTTTCACTTTCCTCACAAACCTCCAGAAAATACTCTATTTCCTGATATTATATAAACTGTAATTATTCAAGTTATCTGAATTCACCTCTTCCTGGACATTTGACACAATTTACTATACGTACTTAATACTGATCCAAAATGAAATGAACAATTTCATTGCAAACAGATGTCGCCTTTGCATGTAATCAGTACCAATAGTGTGTAAAATCAAATGCAAAATAAGTTTCACCGTGGATACAAATTGTCATTTAAAATGATCAAGTCTAAAATATTACCTGATCAAAAGTGAATGAATCTCTGCCATATTTCAATTTTTTCTGTATTTGAAGTAATGATTTGAAATTAACATTATTATCAGGGAATGAATCTAAACGTAATATTCCAGATTTCATAACTTTAGTATTCTGTATCACTAATAACTTCAATACATCTTTTACTCTATCTTGTATATTACCACCATAGTCCATACAGATGATAATATTACTGATAATAAGTCTGAGATATTTACACAGTTCCTGAAAATATACCAATAAAATTAAACTCATGAAAGTGCTAAAACACTGCATTAACAGAAAAATAGTCTTTAAATAGAAATAACAAACACTACGAAATAGTGCTCATCTCACTGGGAGCAAAGCACAAATCAAAAGAAAAACGCATGTCAACCAAACAATTTTCAGACAAATTGGGTTTAGGATATTCTTGATCTTGAGTTTTCAAAAACACATTGAAATACCGCTTGAGTATATTATGGACATTCCAATACTTACTAACATTAAAAAGATAGTAGTTATATACCTGAGGACAGTGTTCAACAGAAACTTGACAGACATCAAATAATAATGATAAACATATCTCTAATGTAGTATCAACATGCTGTATATTGTTTCCATTTCTAGATAAAGAACAAAGAGACAGTCAAATTTTAAGAATAGACTGACAAACCGAACATGATAGATTTATCAATTGATTATAGAATTAGTGAAGACAATCCTTCAACCACTTAGTCAAATGTTTTTGCAAAGCATTTATCAAAATGATCCATACTTACTTAGCTGAGTTAAAGCACATTCAAGATAATAACTTATGACTGCTATTTTTCAAATTTAACAAATACTGTCAAAAGAAACTAAGCTCTGTATTAATAGATCTGAGCTTTGGACCAGATGTTTCTCAATTGTTAAATCTGATTTCCTTTAACTACTCTCAAAAACTATTGATTACATATATTCATAACCTACCTCTGAGTACGTAGATCTATAATGATATAAACCAGTCTATAAATAACATCTCGTAAAACAAACGCCCAACTACCACCCAGTTTCTCGTGAAATACTTTCAACAATAACTTTACAAACAGCTGATAAATCTCTAATATTCTATGTTTTTCATGTAATCTATGTTCATTTGATATAGATACAGATAGATCCAGTAATATCTTCTGTATTGCATCCTAAAATATATTCATATGAATATTAACGAATAAATTGAAAAGAAAGAGTTTTAAAGTTTACTCTTCACACTTTATTGGCATGTTTGTTAACAACAGATCAATCAATAGATTAGCAGGTGAAAGGACCATCAAAAATTCTAATAACTTATATTCTAATTCATACTATTAAATTAATCATTATCACTGTTATTACAAAGAATGAGGATTGGCAACCTGGTAGAAAGGAAGTATATTTCATTCTGCACTTCTGGAATTTCAAATTTGAATCAGATTTTTATATACAAACAAAAAACATCATTGCTCAAAAGAATGTCAAAAGAAGGAGATATTTTTATGGGAAACTACATAAATTCCCTTAAACACAAAAATGAAAGAGTACTACTGACCTGTGATTTGATTAATACAGATATCAATGATTTACTACAAGAAAAACTATTTGTTAAATAATCTAAGGTGGAGATTATTATATATTGGTTATAATATGGTGGATTTGGTTCTGGCCTATAAAAAGAAATGTAAAACATAAGAATATATTTTTGTTTGAAAGTATAATGCGTATCCATTTTCAAGTTAACTTAAGCAGCTGAGTTTATTTGCATCATTACAGTTTTTCTGTTAGATTTCTGTGGTTCCTGTTATCATGGAAATTCTTATCAGAATTGAAAAACTCACAAATTTGAATATTGCAAACACAATACTGAAAAATGTTAAAAAGTTTTGAAATAATGAACCCATTTAACTATATACTGCACCTTTTAGAGTCTGTATCATTATGTAGACACATTAAAACATTGACAACAATAACATCTATATTCTCACTGATTCTTTTACTCAATGTCTGAAAATATAGGACATCAATAAATGCACATCTTGTCGTCATTATGATGAGCACCACCAATTTTGCAAGATTTTTTAAGGGTCAAAAACTGTGCAATATACAATGCGCTATAAGTCACCCATGTTTCTTCATACTTTTAAAACAAGTTGTTATATCAGTTAAACGCTGTGATGATAACTCTACAATTAATTAAAAAAAACTTAAAACAAGAAGCTATATCTTACATCTTTAGTAATTAGTTGACACAATTTCTCATAAGAAGCTGTAGCTAGAGCAATACGTTTTCTCACATTGACATCTGACTGTAATTCTTTACTACTTGAAGCAGCAAATAATGGTAATATATAGATAGTAATACGTGGTATACAGCTGATTATAATATCATTCATATTCTCTTCTATATCCCCACACAGCTTCTCTATACTGCCCATATCTTTCTTCATAAATAACTCTGGTATCAATATAGTTTGATATCTCCTATAATATAAAAAATATCAATTCTATTATTCAACATGTTGAACTAAATTTTCCTAACTTGATAGAACCCCATCCTCATATAAAGAGACATTTTTCGTCTTGCCCTAAACATGTTGATATCCCATCCACATAAAATGTCCTAGGGCAGTAAGGGTCAGATTTGTCGGGATAATTGAAAAGGTGAATTAGTTTCACTGTTGCAACATCTGCCACAGTGACATAATTTATGGTATTTACCTATAAAACTCTTTTATATCAGTTAGTTGTAAAAGCTGATAAGGAAATTCGGCTATAGGATAACACAACTGTAACCACTGGTTGATTAAATATGGTAGATGGCTGGTGAGAAAACTGGACACATTTTTATACCCTAATTTACTAGCTATTTTACACAGGATCTAAAATACATAAACAAAAAAATTGAATTATTCTACAATGTATCCATATGATTTTATCTACAATTATCTTTTGTCAAACAAAATGAAGCAATATATGTAATTCTTAAGTTCAGAAATCAAAATCATGCAGTGTGCAATTCAAGAAATATGGCCAGGATAGTGAAGAAGTCATACAGATTTTCAACTATTTAGCTATTTCCATGTGAGTAACTTCCAATAATACAACTAGTAAGTGAGATACCTTTCTAACAAGATGAATCTCTATTCCTTTCTCTCTAATCATCTGACAGAAAGCAAAAACAGCTTTTTTCTCTACCAGTTGACTATATATAGCAGTAGTAGATAATGTTAGTAATAATGTAGAGGTACGATTTCTAACTTCATCAAGTTTTCTATCAGCTGATATTTTATCCTATAAGAAAGCAACAGATTTGAAAGCTATTAAGATATACAGTATAATTGACTACATAATGCTCACCTCTCTTGGAAGAATGGATGTCATTCACCTTTCAGATTATAAATACTGTTTACCCCTGGAAACTTTGAAATGACTGCAGAACAACTGATTTTTTTTTTGTAGTTTTCTTTCCCCAATTATATATAGGTATTTCCAACCCAGCACCAACTATCTCAAGCTATATACTGACAGAAATACGGTGAAAAGGGTGGAAGGATCATCAATTGCTTAAAAGCCTTAAAATGATACTCACTGGTAAGTCTAGAAGATCATTGCACATCTGATAAATTAACACAAACATTTTATCATCAATTTGCTGATTATTATCATTAAAAAATAATCTGAAATATAAATCAGCTTTAGTGAAACAGAGTTAAAAATCAACAGGTTTTGCCACTTATTGGACCCTTGAAGACTAGCGTCATACAGAGACAGTTTGTTTTTAAAAGGGTTTATAAACAATGAGATAGAAAAGAAGTCAGTTTCATTCGTAATCCTATCACAGTTTTGTTTTTCACTTACCTTTTTATTGCACTAGAAGCAAATAATCTAACTTCATGACTAGTATCATTCAAACATTTAGGTAACTCTTCAATAACGGAGGTTTCTTCAGTAGTATTGTTATTATTATTGCCCCTGGTTTTAATTTTACTCCATTCTCTGTTGGGGTCAGCCTTAAAAGGGACAAATTATCAGAATAACTAAACTGAGTATGGATATATCATTAGACAGAGGTACTAGAGATGTATTCGTATGCCATGACTTCCATAATTGTCAGCAATGTTAACACATTCTAGTTTTGAACAGTATAGCTAGTTTTGATTCATTGTAGTTGTTTAATTTTTTTTTAATTGTAGTTCAGTTAAAAAAGTTTTAAAGCCAGAAGACTGTGTTATAACCTTGACAATGAGTGACCCATTTACATTTATTCAGAAATTAGAAAAATTATTCATAAGATATAATCTTTACCTTAACGAATGTTTCCATACAGATAGCCACCATTAATCTAACAGAATATGTATATTGTCCCTCTTGTTTTAATTTCCTGTTTATTAAACAATTTTTATTACAAGTATTACCTTTTTACAATAATAAACAGCTTAATTATGTTGAACTCTAAACCTTGTTTATGCAAGGTTAATGCTATTCCATTTTACAATATATGGAGACATATTTGCAAGTCAATATATACCGGAATTATATTTATTTCAAAGACTTGTCTATAGTCTTACATGATACCTGAATAATAATGAAAGAAAGGAATGGAGTGTTACATACTACTTTTTTGCAATGAATTGAGCTAATGACGACAGACAACACTATGCAGTTTGCAATTAGGGAAATTGTGCCAGGACAGCAGCATTAACTTAAAATAGAATATAAAGAATAACCCACCAATAAGCACTTAGTAAATGTAGTAAAATATCTCTACACTCTAGTTGTACTGTACTTGGCATATCATCATAGTCTATACAATAACTAATCAATATCTTTAATAACTTTAAACACAGTAATATGATATCTTCATCTCTTCTCTGGAACCTTGCCACTTGCCTGATTAAAATAACAAAGTATATATAACAAATATTACAATGTAATAACAAAACAAGGTGGGAATAACAAAGTATGTATAACCAATGTTACAATGTAATAACAATAACAAGGTTGGAATAACAAATAGCAAAGTCAACATAACAAATGTTACAACATTCTAATAAAAATAACAAGGTGAGAATAACAAATAACAAAGTCAACATAACAATGTCACACCATTATAGTAACAGCAGCAGATTTTTAGCAAAAACCTTTACAGAAGTCAAGATGAGTACTTTGCCCCGAACTTAAACTAAAATAGAGTTTGGATAATTTCACTTGAATTATCTTAAACTGCAGCTTTTGAG